TTATGCTCTGTCTCTCTCAGAACTTAGGGACGTGCATTCCGGTCTGTTTTCCAGAACTCCCCTTTTCACGTTTGTTGGGAAAAAGCACTCTTTCCCTGCCACCCTAACTTGTTGGGAGCATGGCTTCCGTGATTGTTGACTGATGGTATGTAGCAAATCGAATCCACAAGCGTGGCCTTGATGGGGGTGGGAGGGGCAGGAGATTCACTTTCTGTATTAAAGGAGTAAATTGCCCAGCTGTATCACAGGACCCATAGATATGGGGTGGGGGCAGCCTGTGCTCCCTTGAGGCCCCCCCCCCAGTACACCTGGAACTTTATTTCAAAGACACAAAACAGTTGGTGTTCATGATTTAAGGCTCAGTACAAACAGCAGAGGGAATTTATTTTCCAGGCTGCCTGGTTTGGCAAGATTCCAGAATTCACCAAACAGAGAGATAAGGATGATAACGGCGATAATGACGGGGATGAAGCTGCCTCGCCCGCCTGTCTTTGTAAAGAAACAGAAGTATGGCCTCCATAGGACATTCCAGAGTTGCAACACATCCTCAGCTTGACCCAGGACAGATTTAGATCAGAGCCTTCCCAGGACCTGTAAAACTCAAGAGATGACCCCGTGTGCTTGACAGGGCTGTGCTGGAAGCTAGACCTGGGAAGATTTCAAGACTGGAGGTTCTTTGACTCTAGAGGCAGATGTAGCAATATAAAAACTAGGGGGAAGAAAACCAATATCTTAAAATCCAGCAATACTACAGGTGATTTCAGATTCAGCTGTGTTTTTCTGTCAACTACTGAGATCTTCGTTTTCAGTATTATGAGCCTCCAGCAAGCAAGACTCCGCTTGAAGAAAATGCCAGCGACTTGATTTGTAGATGCACTCCCGCCAGCTGGTGAGAGGACCCTCTCTAACACATGCTGAGTGTTCCTGCTGCCACAGAAGGTATGAGATGCTTTATTAGCTCACTGAGTTCCCTTGGTAAGTCGTGACAGATACTAACCCTGTTCCCACTTTAAAGATAGAAAGCCAGGCTTGCTAATGCACACATGCAGTCCCAACCCGTGGAAGGCAGAGGCAGGTATTTCTCTGAGTTTGAGGACAGCCTGGTCTACATGGCAAGTTTCAGATCAGCGAGGGGTATATAGTGAGACTCTGTCTCAAAACAAAACGAACAAAAGCCCCAAGTAGGCAGAGCTTAGCATAACTCAGGGGTGGAGCACTTGTCTAGCAGATACTGGGCCTTGGATTTCTCTGCAGCACTTCACCCCCTGAAAAAAAAATGATAAACTGAGGCCCCCTGAGATTACAGCACCGTGCAAGGTCGGTCACACAGCTGGAAGAGCTGGGCCATTCTGCTGCTCCCGCCTTCTGTGGCCAGAAGACTGGCGTGAATAATGTAGCACCTAGGCAGCTGCTGTTCAGTGTGTGGCTCGCTTTCAAACACACACAGGTAGCTGCGCATTCCACACCAGCTTCAGGCGTGTTCCTCAATCAGTGACTGCACACGCATTTTCTTTTGGTCCCAAGAGAACCTGGAGTAAGACCTAGAGATAGTTGATTCCTGTCCCCTCCCCATCCCTACAAACACCCAATACACAGTCTGTGAAGAACACTCAGGGCCGAGAGACACCTTAGTGTCTAATAGAGTGATTTCCACACAGGCATCAGTAGCTGAATTTGGTCTGCACAACCCATAGCAGCAAAAGCTTTAAACCCCAGCACTGGGGAGGTAGAGACAATTGGACCCCTGAGAGATCACCAGCTACCCGGCCTAGCTGCATTAGCAGGCTCCAGGCCAGTAAGAGGCTCTGTCTCCAAAAGCATGGTGGTTGGCAAGATAGCTCAGCAGGAAAGGCTATTCACTGCCAGGCCTGACAGCCTGAGTTCAATCCCCAGGAACCACTTAGTGGCAGGAGAGAATCCATCCCTGCAAACTGTCCTCAGACACCACCCACCATACACACACACACACAACACACACATGTGAAAAGAAGTTTTAAGCCTAGGTGAAGACACCAGAGGCTGTGGACTAGCTTTGGTATGCACATGCGCACTTGGTACATGAGCGCATACCAGGAGCCCCAAGATGGATGGATCAGCCGTTTCTGTTATCATTGCCATCCTTGTGGGTGGCAAATCCTGCGGATACTGGCTTGATGAGTACAGAGGCCTCTCTGACTTAAATGTCTTTCGGAAACTTGTGTTGTATCTGTACAGGTTTATAATAGCTTAGAATCTCTTTTTCTGTGGGGTTTTCATTTAGAAAGCAGAACGTTTTAATTATTTATCTAAGACAAGAAACGTTCAGCCCTTGAGACATTTCCCTCCATAAACTGTAGAAAATAAAGTCTAACTTCCCCTGTTCACATGGCTTAGGGAAATGGACAAAGAATAATGTTAAAAATAATTTAAAACAAATGCCCAAGTGCTATCCTCTCTGGTTTTTTCAGTCTAGAGGGCCGTTACCATCTGTCACACTCCTCTAAGTGACCTGTCTTATCTATTTATTATTGTTTACCCAAATGAGCTACTTAATTTCACTGTGAACTTGGGCGCTTCCTGTCTCTCGTCTACAAGTTTCCATGCAGGAAGAACTTTTGTTCTCAGCTGCTGTTACAATGCAGCTGAAACCATCCCCAGCACTAATAGAAGTGCAGGAAATTCATTATAAACGCGAACGTTTTAAAATTAAAATTCCTAATCTTTATACACATCTTTTAAAGTCGATTCAGGTCTACGGAAATAGATTAATCATAACCCTTGGTGAATGGCATGTTCACCAGTGATGCGGCTTTCTCTGAGCCTTGCCCATCCCCCTGCCTCTCCCTGACTGTCACAATCATCACTTGGGTTCTCTTCCTGTCGTCTGAAGCCACCTCCTTGGAAGCAGAGCCTGTAGCCAGAGTCTTCTGTAAGTGATGTGTGTGCGTGTGTGTGTGTGTGTGTGTGCGTGTGTGTGTGTGCGTGTGTGTGTGTGTGTGTGTGTGTGTGTGTGTAAGAGGGAGAGGAAATGGAGTGTGGATGACTTGTCTGACTCCGTTGTCAACAGACCCCATCCTGACCCCCCAGGACATGTGGAGCACATCGATGCCCAAGTATTGGCCCTACCTTGAGGCAAATAATTAACCATTTGTACCCTTGAACCCTTGATGGAGAAGAGATAAAGGAAAAAAATCATAGCTTCCAAACCGAGGCAGACCTTATTTGCCCAACACCAAGTCTCTAGAAAAGGTAATAAGACTTGGGCCAGTCAGATGGCTCTGCGGGTAAAGGCACCTGCTGCCAAGCCTAAGACTCAGAACCCACATGGTAGAAGGAAAAAACTGACTCCTGAAAGCTGTATGAATGTCACACACACACACACACACACACACACACACATACACACACACACACACACACACACACACACACGGAGGGGGCGTTTAAATAAATAAATGTGAATTTTTTGTTTTTTTTTTTCAAAGAAGGAAGTGATATTTGAACTGTTGGTGGTGAACACTCACAGCAACTAGGGGGTCAGTCACAAGGAAGAAGGGGTCCGCTACATCTTCCTGGCCTTGAGTAATTTTACCAAAAGTTGTGTCTTCTTTATACACATATACAATGTCTGGGCACGTATGTCTATCCGTGTGTATGTCTGCGTAGGTATGCAGCTTTAACTCTCTAAACAAGAAATGATATTAAATTTAATTGATGCATAACATTTCAGTATGTGACCATATAGTACTTTATTTACCAGTGTTTATACTGATGATCTTTCAAGTTATTTCTAGGTCTTCGCTGGAACAACCACTGACGCTATGACTATTCTTGCATAAATCTCCCATTGAATCTCTCAGGTTTGCTTCTGGGGTAGGAAGTAGCTGGATCATAAGCTGTAAGTTTCAGGAGACAGTGAGGTAATGTTTTCCACGCTTGTGGTTTTACTAATTCATCTGCCCACTAAGAATGCGTAAGGGACCCTTCCATTCACATCCGCTCCAATGTTCCCATTTTTGTCAACAGAATGGGCAGAGAGTGGTATCTCATTGCAGCCTCGTCCTGAATGCCCTCCATCACTCGTCATCCCTTCATAAATAAGTCTGCCAGACATGCTTCCTTCCTCTTACATGATACGCTTACTCAAACAACTTGCCCAATTTCCCCACCAGGTTGTTTGTGCTCTCTGACTGATCTGCAGGCCTGCATACATTCTTTGTTGTGTAGCTGAAGAATGTTGTGAGTTAAAGCTTGCTTGGCCGTGTCTTTAAAAGAACTAATACCCTTAGTTTTATTCTAGTTGCATGTGTCATTTTTTTTTCCTTCTGTGGCTCTTCATGCCTTGCGTAAGGAATCTGAAGGCAAATCTCAATCTGAGGGCGGTGGCCAGAAATGGAGCCAGGTTACAGGTGTATCAAGAGGCAAGCATTGCGGAGACTACAAAGACATGCAGCTGGCAGGTGTGTCCTGGTTATAGAAGTAGACATATCATTCTATTAGAGCTGAGTGCCATTAAAAATTCTAATCATAGACTGTAATTAACTTTCCTTGCTCCAACGCCTGCTCAGTAAGCAGCCTTCTGATTGTAATTTGGCTGCCCATGTATCTTGCCTACAGGGAGAGAATGTACTGAGAATATACTGTTCAGGCCGCCGTGAGGATCCAATCCATTAAACAGTTACATACCATGATGTAAATTAATAAATTCGTATTCTGATTTTATCATCCGCCTCATCTGGGCTCGGAAGGCGTGAGTCAGCATCCCCGGGTCTAATCAACACAGAAGCTGTGGATATCAAGCTTCTGGGCTGAAAACCAAGGAACTAGAACCAGCCAGAGTGAAATCACCAAGGTAACATTGCCCCAGAGGCCCCTCTGCCTGATGAAATAGGCCTGCATGCATGTCATGCAATGGGGACAGGGATTAAAATTTACTTGTGACATTATAAAGAGCTGCATATTCAAGACTGTGGCTCAGTTCTATTCAGGTAAAAGCAAAGAATAAAGAATGACCACGAGACCCATATTGAATATTTATTGGCTTATGAGGACACACCAGATGCTGCCCAAATCCTAGGCAGAAGGTTAAGATTTACAGACATGATTGAAAACAGGAAAAAAAAACCCACAAAAACAAAAACCACAACACAAACAGGACAGATGGTATGTGCTAAGGAGAGATGGGGGAGGTGTCTGGCTGATGAAGTCTTGCTCCAGGTAGGTACTCAGGGTCCAGGATGCAAAAATAGAAGGTGACTTTAAACACAGGAGGAAAGAAACCAGGAGACTAAAACACAGGCAACACTAGCAGCGCCCAAGCTGGAGTGTGCTGAGGCCCTGAGCTTGTCCAGGCCATGGGGATGATTTAGGACCTGTGGGGTGAGGGTAAGATCTTTGAAGTAAGTTCAAAAGGCAGAGTGGAGACGATGCCGACAGGACAGCCGGTGCTAATCGAGTAACCCTGCATCCCACCCCCATCTCATCCATGATCCCTGTGAGCATCTCCTAGGGTACAACTGGCCCTTTTGAGGGTCCCAGTATTGTCAAATATAAAGAGAAGAGGGTAAAAAGAATGGGCATCATCTGAACTCCGAGCCTTGTGATGAACAAGAGCTCAACTGTGTACTCAGGTCAATAAAAAAGAATTAAGAGGAGCCAGGTGTGGTGATGCCCATCTTTAATTCCTTTAATGCACTCTGGAGGCAAAGCCAGGGGGATCTCTGTGAGTTCGAGGCCAGCTTGGCCTACGTAGCAAGTTCCAGGACAGGCATGGCTACATAGAGAGATCCTCTCTCAATAATAATAATAACAACAATAATAATAATAATGATAGGAAGAACAAGCAGGATAGAAAGACCTGTATTGGTGATTCAATAGGATTTGTTCCTCAAAGATAAGTGTGTGTCTGAGCTGGGCACCAGTACTGGGGAGACTGGGGTAGGAGCATTGTTTGGCCCCAGGAGTTTCAGGCTAGTGTGGGCAACATAGTAAGACCTTGTCTAAAAGAAAGAAAAACACGTCAGAAAGAGAAAACACAGGGAGTTCTGAAGATAAGCATTGTCTCTTCCAGCAGCTCCCATAGTTCCCCACCAGAGCCAGATCCCTGACTTGGCTACATGTAGAGACTAGTAAGCCATCAGAGATGTTCTAAAGGTGAGGGAGCCATACACCACCAGGAAGCAATGACTGGGAGTATGGCCTTCCCAACCATGCGTGGGTAGAGAGGCAGAACAGAGGACCGATGAAAGAGCTCCTCACAGGCCCGCCACCAGGATGTGTGATCTCTGGGGAGCAGTGCTGAAGGGAACCAGCTGGTCTCTACCAGTCCAGATGGTTCTGACCCATGCACGAAGAAGTGATCTTCTTTAACAGTGGCCTCAGTGGTGGCTGATGGGTAAAACAGGAGTGCTCTTCGTCTAGTAGAGATTGTCCCGCACATGCTCCATGATCGTCTTCAGTCCTAGCCAAGTCTCCTCCGCAGTGGGGATGATCTGGTCGGCTGGCAAGAGGAAGCCATAGTGCCCCGTGTCTCTAAGCTCAAATGTGAATGCATACTTGATGCCGTTGTCATATGCCCAGTCGATGCTGCTCCCACTAGCTGGGTCTGTAAGGCAGAAGAGAATACCAGTGAAGCCTCCTTCCCTTCAGGGTTCTATGGGAAAGGGCTAGAGTGCTTCCTGGATGGTGTTGTGGGATGTTTGTACCATGTGTGAACATAGATTGTTGTGATTGGGTAATAAAGAGCTGAATGGCCAATAGCTAGCAGGAAGTATAGGCAGGATTTCCAGGGAGACAAAAGAAGAGGAGAAGGAGAAATCAAGGCACTCGGGAGATGCCATCGAGTTGAGCCAGATGCACAAAATAGGAGAGAGGTAAAGCTACATGGTAGACTGTAGATTAATAAAAATATGGGTTAATAAGAGCTAGTGGGACAAGCCTAAGCTAAGCTGAGCTTTCATAATGAGTCTCCCTGTTGTTATTTGTGAGTTGGTGGCCCAAAGGAAAGTCCGTTTACAGAATAGAGTTCCTTAGAATCTCCAGTTCTTTCTGAAAGTCATCAGGTCCTAAGTCATATATGTTCAAAAAGGCACATTGGCACCATCCATAGGGCTTACGTCATCCTGCACCGTGAAGGTCTGTTCAAGCCTCAAACTAAGAGATTTCAATCCTCATTCCCAAGGCTGGGGAGACAGCTCAGCTGACAAGCTACTTGCTATGCAAGTAGAGTTCAAATGCCTAGAATCCACATAATGTTGGTTAGGCACAGTGGCCCACCTAAGATGCTCTTGAATTCTTGGCCCGCATAAACAGAGTAAGAAAATAAAGGTTAAGATGAGAAGTTTTAGTCTCCTTTTGCTTTTTTAATTTTCTTAACACAGCAAGAGATAACTGGTACACAGGAAAGGGAAATGCATTCCTTGGGACTTCCCTTTGCCGGAAGACTTGAGAGACATAGGAGTTCTATTTTTCCGCTGCTTCTCAGACTACCAGAGCAGGAATTGCCTTACAAGTGCAAAATGTAGGTGATCACCCCTGATAAAACGATGACAATCGTCACTAATGACGACAATAGCAGATGTTTTCTTTTCAGCATCTGCCATGAGCTAGTCCTTATATCAAACACTTTATATTCATGCTATCTTAATCTTTAAAACCCAGTGATGGCCATGACACCCTTAGTTTACAGATGGGAAAAGCCCGGGCTCAGGGTGGGAAAGCAGCTAAGGAAATACAGGCAAAACATGATAGAGCTGGAATTTAAGCCCAAATCGTTTTAAGTGGTCCACCCCATCGACTTGAGGTCCATCTGGTGGATTAACACATCTGATAAGTCCCTTCCTTTCCCTTATTCCTGGGAACCGTTTCTCATGGGCACACTTCTCTAAAGATACAGCTTCCACGAAGACTGCATGTTCCCAAGGGAATGGGATGGGCTCTGCTATGCTCTCAAAAATCCATGTGTGCTCTCCACAGTATTTGTGCCCTGAGAAAATGCTCCAGCTAAAAGCAAACAATATCTACCATTCCCAGTGATTCTTTATATGATAAACTCAAGTACTTCATAACATACTTAAGATACTTAAGTTAGGATTCGGCTTGGTATTCCAAGTGATCAGGTCCATAAACTTCATTTTATTTAATCTCTTGCTGAGTGTGTACCTACTCTTACTTGTATGTCTACATGTTCATGTGTGGGTGCTGTTTCTTGGTGTGCTGTCTTCCTTATGTCTCAAGACTGGGACTCCCACTGGCCTGGAACTCACCAGCTGTGCTAAGTTGTCTCTATCTCTTTAGTACTAGTTTAAACGTGCACAACACAATGCCTGGTTTATATGGATTTGCGGGATCAAATTTAGGTCCTCATGTTTGCATAGCAAGTCCTTTACTAATCAAGCTATCTCCCCAGATCTTTAAAAAAAACATGCACGCACACATGTGTGCACCCACACATACATGTATGCATGCATGCCCATGTGCATGTAGGAGTATACCATTAACACCATTCTACACATTCTATTTTTCAATTAACACTTGACTATCATTCCCTACTAGTGCACATTGATCCATCTAATTCATTTAAGGGCAGCCTAATGCTCCCCTGCATGAATCCACCCACTGTCTTTGTCCAGCCCTCTCCTCCCTAGTGGGGATTTTAGATGCTCACCAGACCTTTGTGGTAATAAGTAACGCTGTCACAAACATCCTTAAAACCCATGATTTATCCTAGTCAGATGAGCCCAAAAACTTACTAGATCAGAGTCCTTTAGTAAATCAGAATCAGGAAAGAGAAAAGGAGATGTAAGAAGCAGCTGGCTCGAAGACTGAGCAGGTGGCCATGACAGTCTTACAGGAGGAAGGGGACACAGGTCTGAAGAGCAGACTCAAGCCCATGGGAGGAGGTGGGCGGCAGGTAACAGACGTGTATGAGCATGACATAGATACATGAGAACACTACTCTGAAGCTCATGGTTTTCTATAATAACTACAAAAAGCATGATTTAAAAAAAAAAGCAGACAAAACTTAAGGCAGTAAAATGGGGTGGGGCTAGTTAGAAGGACCTTACAGTCTAAAATGACATATCGAGTCCTCAGGTTGTAATAATTAATCTTCAGAAACCACTCAACTGTGCGGGTGGGCTGAACTCTTTCCCCTGTGTTCTGTTTAAGTAGGCAAAAAAGTGTGAATTACTTCTGTCTAAAATAATGGCTCTAAGAAAAGGCCAGCATTTGTAGTTACAGATGTCCAGCACACACCAGAGCTTCTGGGTTTTAATGTACAAAAAAAAAAAAAACTGACTACTCTACTAGAAAGCAATGGAGGCAGAGAAGACCTGTGAAGAATCCAGAATATTCTTGAAAGACGGCAAGTTTTATGACCCTTAGGCACCCTCGGGAGAGCCTTCCTCTTCTGAGGTATCTGGTGAATATCCCTTGACTTGACACAACTCAGGCTGGGGGAAAGAATGTGTTTGATGTGGTTGAGCAAGACCATTATTTAAACTGTTGTTTGACCCAAAAGCAGGGACCCTGGTGACCCACAAAGATCTTTGGGAAGACTTCCTCAAGGGGCTCCTAGCGAGTCTCCATTAGCTCTCTCCATCCATCCATGATCATTTCTGGATTATTAAGCAGAGGGTGGAGAGAGTCCCCAGATGTGTCTGTCCTCTGAAGAGCTCCCATTTAACAACACTAACAGCAATAAACAATGAATAATTAATGGTTGTTGCTGCAATTAGCAAGACAAACACCAGCATCATGCTAACTGCTTTAAGCTGCCCTGTAGCTACACACACAGAGATGAGAGAGCTGAGATCAGTGGTTGCTATGGGGAAGGCACTGTAGATGGACACACTCCCTTACAAGGGAGCAGAGCTGTTCTTCACATTTGCCATTTAGCCAGAGCTGTGAGGTATGACATTTCCCCATCACCTGAAGACAGACTCCCAAAATAAGAGAATTGGCAAGATGTCAACAGAAATCCAATAAAACGCTCAGATAAGACCAAAACAAATATGCCCCATTTATCACTACCATCCATCTCCCAACACAAAGTTGGGACCTGGGGAAACAACTCAAAACTGAGTCTGGATCCCCAGCATGCACACAGGTCAAAGCAGACATGGAAACATGGTCCGTAACCCAGCAGACATGGCGGCGTGGGTCTGTAACCTTCGTGTTGGTGAGCAGAGATGAGCAGATCCCTGGAACTTGCTGGCCTACCAGTCTAGCCAATCAACGAGAGACCCAGTCCCAAAAAAACAACGTAGGAAACAATAGAAATTAGACACCCGGCACTGGCCTCTGGCTTCCACTTGCACATACACATAACGTGTACACACGTGCACACTTGCAGACAGAAACACACATATAAAGATGGAGGACAGACTTTGACAACTTTTTGATAATACATGTTACAGTATCCTTAGTACAATGAGGAAAGCAGAGTCTACCCACTGACAGGCACACAGCAAGCACATGAGCGGTACTGACGCTGACGAAGATGACAGCCTAAGGTAGCCATGTGTCACAGAGAATTTTGGTTTGTCACCAACCACTAACACAACCAGACAATAGCACAGCAAATAAAGCTTGCATCTCTCCCCCACCCTATTTCAAGTTTCCTCCCTTTCTCAGTACCCCATACCCAGGAATACTCACAGACAGTGGTGCAAGTCGGTCCTACTTGATACTTAGTGCCGGAGTGGGAAGCCAGGGCTGCGGCTGCACTCCTCGCCACATCGTCCTGGTAAGGGATTCGGCAGAGTGAGAGGATGAAGGCAGACAGAGATCACTGAGCACTTGAAAAGCATGTGTAATATACACTCTGACTGGAACTGCTCCCTGCGAGCTTTCGGAAGGCCTGAAGAAGGCCTAAAGAGCTGCTTGCTAGCCCTGCAGCGATCTAGTTAAGACAGATGACTGAGCTAGCCTAAGGGAGAGGAATGTCGTGTTCAGGAACATGACAGAAGGCCAAGTATGTTCCAGGGAAAAGCCTGGAAGAGAGAACCAAAATCTGGTCCTCATCTAGCCATGAGTCTGGGTGGGGCATCTTCAAGCCACAGACTTGTGGGCTGGTGGTGGCCTGGGAATCGGGTGGTGCCCCAGCAGACCAGCGTGTAGGCACAAGCCTGCAGCTATCCTGAAGATGCCAACCCTACCCCTACTAGTCCATCTATAGGTACCTTTCCTATTCCAGGAGTGAGTCATGGGCTGTGACACAGAACCCAAGCTATGACCTTTACCCTCCTTCACGTCTTCCTTAACCAGAGAGAAGGTGCCTTCCCTTCCCATCATGGTGCCAAACCACAGTCTTTAACAAGTAGTGAACCTGTCACACATTCTACTTAGAAAACCAACTGTGCAGGCTGGACGAAGTCTCAGAACTCACAGAGGCTGTCCCTAGCGGATCTGATGTGCCACAAATCAAAGGGCGGGGAGGGACTTACGAAGGCTCGGAAGCTACCCATCAGTCACCTTGGCCCTGCCAAAGTCAAGCAGTCTGGGACCAGGCAAAAGCCCCCCATTGCTTACCAACTCCTCCGCGTCTGGGGCCTTCTTGACTGTGTACCCGTAGGGATACATCAGCAGCTGTGAGTAGCTGTGCAGGTCAATGAAGCATTTGAAATGCCCATGGTTTTGAATAAAGTCCACCACCGATTTCACCTCCACTTCAGAATTGGGGTGGGGGCCATGGTACACTTCAGAGCAAGGGTTGTCACTGGCCCCTTCTCCTGCAGAGGAGAGTTAAATAGTAGCGAGTAACCCACAGGCCAAGAAGACAGAAATGAGGACTGCCAACCCACGCTTGGCTGGGATGGGGGACAGGTATTTGTCAAGATGCCCCCAAGAATCTACTCAGGGCAGGTACAGATTCTGAGGAGGGGACAGGGAGGGGGTTTGGTTGTAGGAGTGCTCCTACAAATGACAAGGAAAACTATTGCAACTTTTTTAAGTGGGTAGAGTTGACCTCACATTGTGCTAATAGCAGTTGTCATAAATAATTAATGTCACACTCAAGAACGAGTTGTAATTAATAAGTGTGCTTGATAATTAATATGAATACCAATAAATAATGAAAATGACTCCATTTATTCTGGTGTCAACTTATTCTCTTGGTTCAGGTCTTAATGGCCAACTGCTGCCAAAAATAATCTTTGTTGTGGTTTAAAAAAAAATCCCTTGATTACCTAACAGGTATTTAAATAGATTGTTTTCTGCATTGTTTCACAGTAAAGCATGCCTTGGGGTGTGTGTGTGTGTGTGTGTGTGTGTGTGTGTGTGTGTGTGTTAGTAGGAACACTGCTGAATTTAAAACTAGAAGGTGAGCTTATTTCATAGTTTTTATCAGCCATGCAATTTTGAGATTATCCCTGAATTCCAAGAACAAAAGTCCATTGGATGAGCAAGAAGAACAAAATGCATGGACAATGGCTGGCACTTCTGTGGGGATGTTTCTAAACAGCTGGAACTCAGATCTCGGTCAGTGATTCTCCCTCGCCCTCGCCATGGCCAGCTGCTGATTGGCGCTAACACACAGAAGCGCAGCTGCTGGGGTTTCAGTCTTGCCTGTTACTGCCACCAGGAGCCCTGCTACCCAGCTACGATCTGCCCAGGCAAAGCTGGAATGGTGAGGGCTAAGAAGGAGCCTTGGAATCATGCACCTAGTGTAGGGGCTGAGAAGGCAGCTTAGCAGTGGAGCACTTGACTAGGAACGCACAAGGCCTCACCACAATCGATCAATTAAATAAATAAAGATTTAAAGTTAACATTGTCACAATCACAACGCAAAGACCATCTGACCCACGCTTAGAAGGAAGGGGAATACTAATCATTCCCTTTCAAAATTACAACAATAAAACTTAAAAACTAAACAGAACACATAGACACAGAGAGCCTGCGGGATGTCCTCTCAGTGACTGGAAAAGCAAAACCAGAATGCAAACTGACTCCCTATCCCACACTGCAGGCATGCACGGACAGGTTCACTCAGGGCTGGTGGGATCTGAAACCATCTCCCCACCTACCTGCGAAACTTGCATTCCAGTTTCTGTTTGGATCAGCACCAATGCAGCGGCTTCCTGGGTTCCGGGACCGTGTCTTCCTCCATAATCGGTTCTGAAAAAGCCACCAAATACTTGAGGCTATGTCAGGATACAGGAGTAGTGAAGGGTTTCTCTGGAGGCTGTGGTCACAACAGGTAGGCTGAGCTGCATGTGGCCTACAGGGAGGGGGCGGGGGATCTGGACTCCAGTCTCTGTTGCTTGGGTGCTCTGACTGCACCCCTCACAGAGGAGAAGGAGTATACTTCTGGCTTTAAGAAGGGATTTGGAGCCAGCCATGCTGACATACACCTTAGTCCCAACACTTAGAGGCAGAGACAGGCAGATGTCTGTGAGGCAACCTACTCTACATAGCTTCAAGCCAATCAGGAAGAATACATACACAGTAAGACACTATCACAAAAAACAAAACCAGTGACAGTGACTCCCTCAAGCTGCCCTGATGAGAACTTTCTATAGAAGAACCAAGCCGGTCCCAAATGAATGCACTGAATAATTATTGGTTTATGCAGAAGTAGAGGCAATGGCCACTGATCACTCATGCCACAGACGTGCACAGGGCCCATTATATTCTAAGACAGTCACCTGAATTCAATCACACTCTCAACCAGGGAATAAGGAGACAAATTAAATCGTACAACAAAGAAGCCATCAGCCAAACGCAGAATGTGAGACGTTATACAGGAAATTACTTAGTTTCTCCAACAAATGAGTGACATTTTAAAAGGCTGTGTTTGGGGGTGCTGTTGAATGACTAAAGACCTCAGAGGCCCCGCCGCAGTCTCCGTGCACGGACCTTATTGGATCCTGACTTCGACAAATTGACTCCTAGGAGACATTTTTAAAATAATGGGGGGGGGTGTTAGAGGATATTAAAGAACTTCCATTAATTTTTCAAAGGTGACAGTGCTGTAGTGGTGGTTTTTTATTATTATTATCATCAGCTAGAGATGCATACTAAGGTCGTTGTAGATGAAATAACATGATGTCTGGGATTTGCTTTAAAATATGTCAAGAAAATAAATTGTGTAGGAGAGAAAAAAGAGGAATAGAAGATGGGCAAAATGTTGGAAATTGTTCAAGACCCATAACAGAGAGTGTCTTAGACTATTCTCTGTAAATAATAATAATATATTCCCTGGTGATTCTCAGCTCAGAGGGTGACTAGAAAAGAAAAACCCCAAGGGAGAGTCGAATGGAGAAATCATCTCCAAGGGCACTAGCAAAATATGGAATCCAGCCGGTGTATTCAGCTCAGGCCCTGGCCCCTTAGAACTACTCACTTGGGTTTGTGTGTATACATATCCATCAGGATTGGCCACAGGCAGCAAGAAAATATCCACCTTCTTCAAGATGGAGGTGACAGCAGGATCCTTTTGGTAATCAGTCACAATCTAAGCAGAAGGAGTCAACATACTTGTCAGCTACATCGTGGCAGTTTGTAGGCCTGTGCAGGTGCTTTCCTAGGATGGTCTCCACCCTCTGAAGCCCCCATAGGTTCTCTCAAAAGCCTGGGCACAGAGCTGAACGGCAGTACCAACTGCAAGTCATTGAGTGACAGGAGATGGCTCTGTTCACTCCCTTCACATACAGTGGGCACTGGCTCACAATAGTTTTTGAAGGGTCTGGAGGCAATCTGAGAACCCAGGAGTCCTGCAGGACTTGGAAGGGGATGAAGGTGAAGTGTATCGGAGTTGGGTGCTGAGTGAGGTTCTGGTCCCTTTGGCAGGGCCCACCTTTGGAATACATCATTAGCTTGTTCACAAACACTGTCACTTAGCCACAGTGAGGTGGCTGACAGAGGAGCTTTGACCACTTCTCCCATCTGAGAAGATGCTAGCCTACTAGGTTTGTACAAAGCACCTTCCTACCTCATCCCCTGGACCCAGGTACATGGGATGTGTCTGTCCCCCACCCCGGGCCCACCAGAATCCTTGACTAATTCCAGGCGACATGACCTTCCTCGCCGTCCAGATGGCAGTGGCCTGTGAGATCCACTCACGGGAATGGATGCCTGCATTCAGCCAAATGGCTGGCCGTTTCTTGCCTCCTCCCGTACTGAACTGCAGAAGGAAAAAGAGGCCAGAAAATGACCTGCCTGTCCACATCTCTCCTCACCTCTCCTCTCCCCAGCCCGCTCCTATTCATTTCATTCATTTAAGATAATTCAGAGACCAAATGTTCCTGAGGGCACCATCTATTTATCAGGCTTATCCGTGACCTGGGAGCTTAATTGGTTGGCTGCAGCTCTGGGCAGCCCAAACATCTCCAGCCTTGGGAGTAAATGGAAAGGAGAAACAATTGGTATTGTAGGTCAGAATGCTAGTGCGATTAGAAATAATAGTGTGTCTCTTGAAAGATCTCAAATGGTTTCCCAACAGAGAGAGGCACAAGGGTGCATGAACCAGACTTTTGCTGATGTAATAAATGAATTCGGTTTTAAATTACGAAGGAAAGGGCTCCACTATAGCTCTTTGTAAACAGCAGTAATGAATTCTGCTTCCTGCCTTTGCCATAGCACTGGGGCTCCATGGGTCAGAGCTTGGTGCTAATGAAACCGGGGTCTCTATCAGATGGGCAAATAATCTAAATGTAATTATTTGAAAGGAACCAGCTCAGTGATGCCCCCCCTCCTGCCAGTTACTTACTATAAACCTGGCTCCTACGAAGCTAAGGACTTGGTGAATTCCTAGCATCACGAGTTGTTCCCTAGTTTTTATGCCCAAATCCCTTTCTATGCGTTCAGCTGGAATATTTATGTAATTGATGTCATTGTCATAGCTCTCCACCTCTTTTGCCAATACAGACCAGAATCTGTTAAAAAATATCTGGAAACGGGGCTCTATGCAGCCAGCAACCCGAGGCTAGGCTTAAAATTCCATCTACCTTAATGTAAGCAGCCCAAGTTCTTTTCCAAGAAGAGGCCCCAAAAGCAGAACAGAGTTCATGTCCTACCCTAACTTGCCAGGTGGGAGTCAAGGCAGACTATAGGCCTCTGGGAGTCTTAAGGAATGCTAACAGCCTTTCCTTTCATCTCAGTCAAAACAGAAAGGGATATGCTCTTTTTAACACACCTACAGTAGGTAAAAGCAGAGGATTCAATCAGATCGAAATATCTGATTAAGCAAAGATGACTTGAAGCTACAATCTCTTTCTTACAGCCAATGGGGTCTAAAAAGCAGCTTCCCTTCACAGACCAGAGCCAGGTCCAAAAATTCAGGTCCAGAAGTTTGTGTCAAGCTGGGGTCTTTGAAAGGGCCTTGAGCCTCACCTTCAGGACATACATGGGCCGCTTTTCAAACGTCTCTCCAATCTTCACTCTGCTTGCCAGTTCAGGGAAATCTGTGGCAATACTGTCCATCTCGTGGTAAATCTGAAGTGTAGAAAAGTGAACCAAGGACACTTTAAAAAAACATTTTTTTTGAGTTAGGGTGTTCCTATGTAACCCACACTAGTCCTGAACTTGGAGCCTTCCTACCTCACTCGTCCCAAAACTGGTGCAACAAGCATGCGCTACTGTACCCAACTCACTGCTATTTTAAAACTCTGTTCCATTGTGCAAGCCGGGTGTTGGTGGCGCACGCCTTTAATCCCAGCACTCAGGAGGCAGAGGCAGGCGGACCTCTGTGAGTTCAAGGCCAGCCTGATCTACAGAGAGAGTTCCAGGACAGCCAGGGCTACACAGGGAAACCCTGTCTCAGAAAACCAAAAATAAAATAAAATAAAAGAACAAAACTTAAAACTTTCTGTTCCATTATGTGTTTGGTGTCTGTGAACTTTATCTTATCAGCCTTATGTTTCTTCTGAGACCCTGACCTTGGATATCAGCTTGGAACGCTATGACAGGGAACTTCCTGAACAGCCACTTTCTGCAGCTTCCTAGAGGACAACACATGTCAGTTGTCTGCAAAATATAGTCCACTTAAGTAAAGCAGAGAGACTTAAACAGATGCTGCTCCAAAGTATGATTCTTTGCATCATCCCAGACAGGACTATCAGAATAAGCCTGCCTACCAAGGCTCTCAACAGCACGGCTCACCAAATTGTTCTCCACCAGAAAAAGATAAAAAATAAAGAAAAATTCACAGTGTGTGTGTGTGTGTGTGTGTGTGTGTGTCCTGCACAAACAATACAAATAGATTGTGTATAATATAAAATAAGAAAAGAGGTCACATGTGGTATGCTTTTGATCCTAGCACTCAGGAGGCAGAGACAGGTGGATCTCAGCCTGGTCTACAGGGTGAGTTCCAGGATAGCCAGGGCTACACAGAGAAACCCTGTCTCAAAAATAAAATAAAAGTAAATGTAAAGATGGTTCCATGAATAAAATGCTTGCCATGCAGCAGCCACATAAAAAGCTGGGCGTGATGACGTGCGCCTGTAACTAGTGATGGGGAGCAGACCGGAGGTTCCCTGAGGCTCACTGGCCAGCTAGTCTAGCTAACCACTGAGCCCAGGTTCAATGTGAGCCCCTGTCTCATAAAAATAATCAGTAAATAAAGTGGAGAGTAACAGAGGAGAAGAACTCTTGTTTCTCTCACAGAGGGCTTTGAAAGTTGGGTGTGTAACTCTGTTAATTAGGGTGCTTCTTGAGCACGCGTGTGCCACGGGGCTCAGTCCCCAGGACCTGGTAAAGCAGGCTGGCAGTACACACCTGTAACTCCAGCACTCAGAGGGTAGAAGGATCCTGAGTTCCAGGGCAACCTCAACAACACAGGGAATTGGAGACCATGGTTACATGCTGTGCAAGACTGTGTCTCAAAATAGAGGGGAGGGAGATATCTTGGAAACTCTCCCAACCCACAGACCCTAGAGACTGAAGGAAAGCAAAGGAGATGCCACGGGCCATGAGAAAAGAGTGTCACCTACAAAAAGTTAAAACAAGCTGAGTACAATGGCACACACCTTTAATCCCAACACTCAGGAGGCAGAGGCAGGCAGATCTCCATGAGTTCGAGGCCATCCTGGTCCACAGAGTGTGAGTTCCAGGATAGGTTTCGGAAGCTACACAGAGAAACCCTGTGTCAAAAAACAAAACAATACAAAAAAAAAAAAAAAAAACCAGAAACAAAAAACAACCCTCCTCCCCAAAAAGCAACAACAAAAATACAGATGAAAGACTCTCCCTTGATTAGCTGGGATCCACACTTGGGTTTGTCTTATTTGGCTGCTCAGTGGTAGTGCACACCTTTAATGCCAGAGGCAGGCAGATCTCTATGAGTTCGAGGCCAGCCTGGTCTACAAATGAGCTCCAAGACAGCCAGGGCTGTCGCACAGAGAAACCCTGCCTTGAGAAAAAAATAAAACAAAACAAAACAAAACAAAAACCACCAGACCAGATCCATCGATGATTCAGTCTAATAAGACAAACCCAAGTGTGGATCCCAGCTAATCAAGGGAGAGTCCTTCATCTGTATTTTTGTTGTTGTTTTTTGGGGAGGAGGGTTGTTTTTTGTTTCTGGGTTTTTTTGTTTTGTTTTTGTATTGTTTTATTTTTTGACACAGGGTTTCTCTGTGTAGCTTCGAAACCTATCCTGGAACTTACTCCGTGGAAGGAGAAAACTGATTGCCCTCTTGACTTCCACATTAGTTCCATGGCACAAGGACAGCCGTATACACAGATGCTAGACAGACAGACGATAGGTGGGTAGGTAGATAAATGTTTTAAAAAACCTCCAAAGCTATCGAGATGTGGGGTGCGAGTTCACATGCCAGCCGTCACCCCATGAGGACCTGAAAGCCTTGCAGCAGCAACGGTGGAATTCCCCCTGGAGACCTAGAAAAGCCTAAGTGGTCACAGGACATGAGCTGTTCAAAGCTGGTTTTAGGAAGAACCCCGAGTGATCTATCTGGCCAGGAGAGAGATGGCACAGCCACAGGCCTCTGGGAACAAGAGCTAGCTAGCTGGAGGTCACTCTACCAAGGACACCCAAGTCAGTGGGAACAGACGCAAGCAGATGAGAAAGTGAGACCAACAGATGGCCTCTCTTGGACCCTGGGTGACATTTACAACTGGTTAGCCCAGCTGGGGAGAGCCCCACGTTAATGAGGCTAATGTGTTATGGGTAGGCCCTGAGCTATGCTTTCGTCCGTGGCCCGAGACTGAACTGAACTCCTAACTTTATCCAGCTGTTTTGCAGATGTGTGTCACTGGTCACAAGAGGGATCAAGGGGCAGAATTGTTGGAAGTGTACACAATAAACAGAGCTACTGGCAATCATGGGAAAGAAGTAGAGATAGTTGGCTGGCTTTTGAACTAATCCCTCATCCAGAAGAAAAACAACTGGAGGTATACGCCTCACGAAAACTTTGCCAGGAACTCGGTGTTTGCTCATAAAGACTGGCGTGCATCAAGGTAGAGGTGAGAGAAGAGTAATTTAAATCTGGGAGGGGGGGTCCCAAGCCAGTAGAGTCTGCAAACTAATGAAAGAGACACTCGGGACATAAGAGGCCCGCATCTTGAATGATTCTTCCATTCTGAGGTCCCTTTTGATTTCTCAAGTTCCAGTATCATATGAAATTATTCAGCTCCAAGTTTTTCATTCCAAGGTTTGGCTTACCTTGAAAGTCAGCCATATAAAGTGGTTTCTAACTGCACACAGCACCAAATTGCATTGTGGAACAAATATACATTACAAGGAGTCGTGATAAATGAGTGGAAATATTTGGTTAACCTTGGAAATAACCGCTTGTCTGCTTGCCTGGAATACATGGCATTTTATTCTGTGCTAGGGATTCTGATGGGGGAGAAGGTTGAATTACAATGGAAATGCTACCGCTGTAGCCTGGTTTTTTTTGTTGTTGTTGTTGTTTTTTTTTTTTTTTTTTAAGGCTGCTTGAGAAGGGTGCCTGCAGGGGAAGTCGCAGTCCTGTTCCACAGGCGCGTCGCTGCTGGTGAGGGTTAAACAACCAAAGGGGAAGGAACGAAAGTGCACGCGTTTCAGCCGCTCTGTGGAGTGATACCGTGCTCAAGCTGGACATGAAGAGAGAGGTTACAAAATGGAGCAAGCGGTGAATGTTGGTCTTACGCCTGCTTTGAAACACTTACAGCTTCCAAGGAGTGGTAGGATGCGTAGTTGAAGTTATCCCCACTCCGCTCTCGGCCTTCATTGTGTTTCATCTCTTCATCTTCGTTGTCTAAGAGAGCCTAAGAAAGCAGACACAGCGACATGGTGAAGGGATCCCCGTGGAGACACAGGTTCATGTAGGTAGATGGGCTGGCCAAGATGGTGTCACCCTCATGGTAGCAAGAAACACAAATGTCCAAGTTCTAAAGGGACTAGAACACTTAAATTATCCGGGCCAAAGGCTACAGTTCAAGAGAATGTAAGTTCATGCTTCATACATCTAAAATTTCTTTAACCTTAACTACACAACACTCTGATGCTACTACTTTCCAAGGGGTTTGCGTTAATTCTGTGGAGTAAGACAATGGAATCATCTGTGTTCATTTCTGCTTAAGGTCTCTATTCCCTAATGGTCTTGTTTCTATCGAAACTTTTTAGTACATAAAACTAGTTCAGTGCCCATACCCAGAAGAAGCACAACCTAAAATTATATATGTTGATCATCACAGTCACACAACTAAAAATAATAAAAAAAAACTATCCTGCCTTTCATTAAAAAAAAAGGAGGGAGGGTCAGATTTTTCCATATATCTATAAAACTTTACCTTTTAATATCCAATTTGCATTACCCATTCAAAACCCACTTGCTCCCTGGAAGTAACATATGCGCAATTTGGTTTTCCTATAGTATGAAATCTCTAGACATTGGCTTGCATCTGGTATCCAGTGCCTCTGAAACACACAGCTTGGGAAACCATTCAGAAACAAAGAAATTCTTATAACCACTCATACTTTGAAGGCTCCTGGCAGATGTCTGTGACATGTGAGGATGATTAATAAGCTCACAGCTGCTCACACCATCAGGAAAATGCCGGGCCAAATCACCAATTAGTCCATAACCCACCTCGGTGAAGGAGAGAGTGTGAGTCAGGGACACTGTCCTGCTGTTCAGTGTAGGTTATGGGACTGTATGGCAATGTTCCCTCTGCTGGGAGTTCTTGGTGACATTCCCCCTTTCTCAAAAGACGTCTCTTCTGATCAGTTCCCAGTACACACACACACACACACACACACACACACACACACACACACACACACACACTAACTTCAAGTAAGAAAAAGGAGGATGGGAGGAAATGGTTACCTATCAAAACATCTGTGATGTGCTGACTACTGTTAGATATAGTATATATAGTCGATAGAAGCATTGTCTTGATAAATAGTTGAAGTAGGAATCATTATCACCATTTTAGCAATGATGAAACGGAGGCTCACGAGGGTAAACGTTTGCCGGGGGACACAGACTAGTGGTTAGCGAAGTGAAGACTCAGATGAAGATCTGTGCCGCCGCCCATCTCTGCAGCACCCACCCCTGTAACAAGTTACTACACTCTGCTTCTGTCTCCATTTCTCCACCTGGGATGTGAGAAAGGATGGCGCTGGACACTTTTAAACCTCCCAGGTCCAGCGTGATTGGTGGCTTCATCTTATGTGAGACTGGTAAGAGTCCTACCCACCTGGAGGTCTTCAATTGTCACTGAGTAATCTAAGCCCTGGGACTTCAGGAAGGACTTGACTGGCAGCAGGCTGACGGAGGGCACGAGGATATCCACAGGCCGACCAAAAGTGGAGGGAGATTTCCAGACGTTGAGCTGAGGCGAACAGAAACACAGTCATGTTAAAAAGACAGCTTGGGAGAAACACGAAAGGAGCTCACGTTCCTTAGAACCATTGTCAAAAGCCAGGGTGACCCCTGAGTTCCGCCTAAGGACAAGCATCACCCATGTCACAGGCGTATCTGGTCAGACATGCCCAGCACTCAGTACCTGACAGAGTCCAAGATACAAGGAGAGCTACGAGAAGTGGGGAGCCCAAAGCTCAGGCCTCCCGTCTAAGAGACTGGTGAACACCCAACTCTGCAGACCTCTCCCGCTGCCGCGTCCCTCTCGATCGGTGACTAATACGGGATAGAGACAAGTACAACGGCTGCTCCCCCTGAAACTCAACATTCGAGGTGATGAAGAACCACATACCTTAAAGTGGTCCGAATTCACTAGCTGAGTCAGCTTTCTGATCTCATCTCCATTTCTGACGTTAATCCTAAAAACTTGGTCCCTGGAGGAGGGGAGGGGGAGAAAGAAGGGGAGGGAGATGATGGTAAGCTTTCAGCTGGCAAGTAGACCCCCAAGCCCACCATCCCAGACAGGGCTGTGCCGATGGAGGGAAATAAGGAAACGGTCTAGTCTTTGGTTATAGCGTATAGCCATTAAAAACAAGGCTACGTGGCAAAGATGAAAAAGTGCTTATGTATAACTTGAAGGGTAGCATTAAGTGAAAGAGCAGGACACAGGATTGTCCGTGTGCCATGATTACGAGTATGGAAAAAGCAGATGGGTTGGAAGCAAAACAGACAACGGAAATAAAGTAAATGCTGCCAGTGCTCGTTTGGGCCGGGGGATTATGGATGGCTTACTTTCTTCCCTCTTGTATCTGTTTTCTGTAATGTGGTCGTATTACTTTATAATGAAAAACATATATTTTTACAGAAAGGAATGTCCCTGAGTTAGGCTGCAGGCTAACTCAAGGCATAAAGAAACACTTCTTCACTGTCAAAGGCGACAGAACCTTCAGGCCTGAAGAGCTGGGGACTTTTGGGAACAGACCCTCTACCAGGGGAGGCCGGGGGGAGAGCACTGACTCCTCCTCCCCGCCCCACACAGGTGCTTTACGTTGGAACTGAACGTGGACTAGGGTTGCAGGCTCAACCTGAGACTCATGGCTGCCTGCCGGGCCCCGAGAGCGCCCAGAAGCAGCCTTCCGGTGGCAGCCCCCCCCCTCTGTCATTTGTCCTGTGCATCATTCAGCTCCTGCAGCGCTGGTGGGGGAAAGAGGCCCCCGAGTCCTGCGTGGGTGGGAGAAGGCTAGGTCTGAAAAGCCTCCTTTGAGCTCTCAGCTCGCTCTGAGAGCCAGCGGAGCCATTAGGCGTTGCTAGGTGACGGCCCAAATGAATCCGCACTCGACACTGTCACATGCGTCATCCCTTTGACAAGAGTGGATGGTGGAGGAGCCGCTGGAGAGAGATGTGGGCTGAAGGACCTGTTGACAGAGTGAATGGCTCTGTCACAGGGAGCTCGATGTGAGGCTCACGTGGAGGCTCCTCACCCGAAAACCGGTTCAAGCCGGATGGACTGCCACGGCTTCACTTAGTTCTGGAAAGTTCTGGGAAGACCTAGGCCAGGTCCAAAAGACAAGGTTCCCTGCAGAGGTGCTTTGAACACAGGTGGCTGGACTGGGTAAGATGTCAGTGCCCGAGGCTCGCGTGTGCGGGAAGAGGCAAGGCAGAAGTTTCGGTGCAGAACGGGGCACCTTCCCCATCTTTCCCCACCTCTGCACGCCTGCTTGGCTCCAGATCCCCCGAAATTTCATGTTCACTCCATGCAGATGCCTTCGGGTGCAACGGGGTTCCCTTTGTGTGCGATCCCTGTCCTTAAGCGCCTGGTCGTGTCTCCCACCTAATCTTCAACACAAGATCCTGTGACTCATGAAGCCTTCCCTAACCAAAGCCAAGTACAATAGCACTAAAAACTGGTGGCAATGGTAGAGCCGGGTCTGCCATTACCCTTATGAACATCAGCACAGCTACATCTAAAAACAGAGTTTGCAAAGGGCAAACTTCTTCTTGCCTTCGTTGACCTTATCTCTATTTGGAAAATAGCCTCTCCAGCTCCTGACAGTGCAGACGGCTGAGCTCACCCCATCTGCATGAGCTGGAATTCCACTCGAAGACCTTGACCTTGAACTCTCTCTGGAGACAGGAAACTGGCCTGGGTGAAGGGAAATGCTGGGATGCGCAGGTGCTTGTCTGCCCCTCCCGTTCTGTGGGGCTGTTTTAACAGCTCTTTTGGCTCTCTTCAACTCCTAGTACACCAAGACGACTTTAGCATCACGATCGGTGACATCTGCTCACTCACCCTCCCACCTGTCCACCCAGGGCAATCAATAATTGTTTCGACAGCTGAGCCTCTATCCCTCTCTATTAACAGGAAGAGAGCTAAGCAGCCAGTTCTCGGTGCCTCTCTCTCCTACATCCTAGCCCAGGCTTAGCAATGACTGACAGTCTTAGGAGATGACCTCAGAGAACCCCGGGATGTTTGCCAGCTACCACCGACACTACAACCAGTTCTGCAACTGCTCCCTGCTCTGGCCAACACCTCCACATATCCTGGTCACTGCCTCATCCTTAAGATATCTGAAAACTAGGACAGGCGACACCCCGAGAGCAAGAGAGGCTGGGGAGTTGGAGAACCAAGTGACAAGGGCAGGAGACAGGGTGGTGGGGAGGAACCGCCATCCTTGTGTCCGTTAGCGGTCTCCAGCCTGGCTCCCCACGCACTCAGAGGCTCAGAGGCCAGCTCCCTCTGCATTCGCTGAACCGGGTGTCCAGGACAGGCTGATGGAGCCTAAGGAAGACTCTTCTACCTTTACTGAGGTGCCTACTATGGAGGAAGAACAGCCTTGGTGATGCCATGGCACAGTTTGATTAAATCCGTTTGCGGTCAGCTCCAGCACACGGCCCCCTTGTGTGCTAGACTCCTGCCGTGTGAATCCTCTGGGTCCCAGCCCCACTGTCTCAGCCCAGGTGCCCACTGTATCACAAGAAAGGTCTGTAATCCTGGGAAATAGAGATTTCCAGCCACCTGAATAGCTTCAGTGGGAGCCTGACAGCTCCATGCATCAGCCCACGCAGCAGCAAGTGTAGTTATGACACACCTACCGCTGAGCTGCCTGCGCAAAAATCTTCCTTCTCGGCCACCTGCTGTGCCTAACCCCTCCGAGCTATTTGGCAGCGGAGGCAGGTATGAACCATCATCCCCATAAAAATTACTCAGTCTCATGTAACTAATTGCTTCAAGAAACAATCCTCGAGTCCCTTTAACCAGATAATACAATAGGGAATAAACTCTCGCATATACGGGTAGACCAAGGAGATAAAGGATTCCATTTGATTGGCTTCTGTTACAGAAAAGGGGTATGTGCTTGGCATTCAGCATTCCATCTTCCCTGCTTCCCAGCTGAGTAGTTTCAGGCAGGTTCCTTAACCTTTTTAAGGCTGGGTTTTTGGTTTTTTGTTTTTTCTTCATGTTTGAATTCAGGAAAATAACACCCTTGCCTGACAAGAGCTGTTACATGATCCACAAGAGAAAGCACACGAAAGGGCTTTGCAATAGGAAAGGCGTTGTGCAGTGACAAGTTATTCTTCTACACGGGTACCAGAGCATCCCTATCATCCCCCCTGCCTCTCCGACTTCCTGTCCTTCCCCGGCTCCACATCTTCTGTGTGGAGCATGTGGAGTCTATGCATTCACACTCACACAGAGTCCTGGCGTGCATTTCCATAGCTGTAGCTAGGCAAGACCTATTGGACCTTGTTCCAGAAACCTCTGAGAAAGCTCTGGCAATACACAGGCTTCACCACTGACAGAGTCTCTGCCCCCCAAAGCCTCTGACCCAGCTTTTCCCTTTAAGCCTGGCAGAAACTGGCAAAACCTTTCTGTCTGGCCATTCTTCCTAGGTAACGGTGTCGGAAATACCTAGGACTGATCTTTGAAAGGAGGGGAAGACACAGAAGCCAGCAGGAGATTGGGGAGCTGGGGCCAGCTTCTAGAGACCGATAGCTTTGGTTTCACAGAAGAAATCAGGTTTCAGAGAGAAGTGGCTGGTCCAGGAGGAAACAGAAACAGAAGAGCTATAGAAGCCCAAGCCCTAACCCTGAGCTCTACCACCTAAGGTACAATCACTCCATTTGGCTCCTGGATTGCTGAAACAACTAAATAATGATCATAAAGTTCAAAAGAAACTCACCCGAAGAATTTGTCTCGGCTGCAGACGCCTGACCCAATAAGGGCCCCAAAGAACAGTAACCACCTCATGTCTCACAGGTGCCAATCACACACTGACTGAGTCAAGCTGTATTTATAAGGAGCCCGAGGCACACTCACATCCTCAAAAATGCTAATATGGCTCTCCAGCACCCTTCCATCTCTGACAAGGCAGGCCCCAGCCAAGGCCTCCTCCATTCCTGTCCGGTGATGAAGGCCCAGCCTCTCCATTTGCACAGCAGGAACTTGCTCCACAGGCTGGGACCGTCTTACCCAGGATGCCACATGGCTCATCACTTGGCATCTAAATAGTGTTTTTTGAATAAATAGAAAGATCCCACACTGCCAGGTGGAATGCATACTGATAGGAGAGACCAGTTTGTAGACCTGATGTGGAGTTACCTCTAGAGTAATAAAAACTGGGGGGAAAAATGATTTGGAAAGTGAAGATTATCAAGCAATCTTGAGCCAACTCCAAGACCACACATTGAGTAGCCTGTCCAGAGAATTCAGCAGAGCAGGTCATGGAGTAGAGTTTATGGGTCTAAGGCCTAATTCTTAGGATTCCATTAAGAAAAGAGAAATATGGGTGGTGAACAGTATAGGAAGGATGTGTTATTCTGAATAAATTAACAGTTTTCCTGGGGACCTAAATGACAGATAAGGCTTAATGGCATTTGTTTTGAATTTATTTTTTTTAATTTACTTATTTATTTATATGTATGTATGTGTGCCTGTGTGAGTTTACATAGATCACGTGTGTGCAGGTACCTTCTGAGGTCAGAAGAGGGCATCAGATCCCATGAGATCCCCTGCACCTGGAGCCACTATGTGGCTAGTGGGGATCAAACCCAAGCCCTCTGCAGAAGCATATGCAATCTGAACCTCCGAGCCATCTTTCCAGTCCCACAGTTTCTACTTATTCTTGTTTTTGAGATATGAGCTCACTTTATACCCCAGGTTAGCCTTGAGCTCACAGTCCTCCTGCTCAGCCTCCCAGGTGCTGAGATAACAGGTCTGAGACACTAAGCCTAGCTTGTTTTTTTAACAGAGTTTCTTTGTAGTACTATGCGACCCCCGGGAAGGGACCCCCGACCCGCGGGGGTGAGGTGATGAGGGTCGCTACTAATTTAGTGGGCCTTCACGAGCAGATCCGATCTGGAAAGTGAACTTCAAGAGGTTAATGAAATCAGGCTCAAGACAACGTTCGCTGATTAAGAGCCTTTATTTTTTGGGGCACGCTGGAATTTATAGAGGAAGGACCTCAGGGGGTGGTACAAGCATGTCAATCAAGTCTCATTTCAAATATACACCAAATACGGTAAAGACAAAGCTGTAATTTTCCATCAGTCATTAGTTGCATTCCACAAATGCTTGTCAGAGTAAGTCAGGTGCAAAAAGAGGGAACTGGAGTTTAGGTGATGCTGAAGAGAAGAGCTGTGAAAACTTGTCGCTGAGAGCTTGAACGAGAGAGGAAGCAAGAGAATCGACAGTGGAGGAGTATTTGGGAGCAACAGATCGAGGGGGATCAGGGAGTGAGGAAAGATCATAGGGAGGAGGTCTCCTGGCCAGAGAGACCTCGCGCCCGAAGGCCTGAAGGTAGGCAGCAGCCTCTTCCTCTAGCTCCTGGGCATCCCCAGGATCGAGAGGTTCCTCAGTAGGAGCAGAGGCGACAGCCCGTAGGGAGGGGTAGATGCCACCGGTGGCTGAAGAGCGAGCTTTAGGGGCAAATGAGGTAGGTTGATCAGGAGGAGAAGGTGGAAGCTTATCAAAGTCAGAGTTAGCAGAGGAAGAGGAACAATCTTTAGAAAGATCAGCGACAGAACTTGCTCTGGAGCTGGCACGAGAGCACCCTCGGGAAGCAACCTCTAGATGTTGTTGGGCATCTTTAAGAATTTGTTCATTTCGGGGGCTTTCCTTTGTGTTAACAATGATACCTTTTAAGAGATCCCAATACTGCTGTATAATCTTTTTATCACTTTCAGAGCCTTTGGTTTTGAAATAATTAGTTAATTCAGCCCCGACCCGTTCCCAAGTACTGCAAACTATTTTTGGGCAGGTAATGACAAACCAGGGACAAACTTCATGTACAAAAAGCAAAAACTTAAGTAAATCTTTTTTCTTAACCTCAATGTTTTTAATCTCTTAATTCTTTTTGAATTCCTTTAATAAATCTAGCTTCTTTGCTGATACTAGTCCCCATTTTCGCGGGACGGATGGGACGGCGGTGTTAACCTAGGTCATTAGACTAACCCTACTCTGCGCCACCCGGATGGGGCTTACCTGACGCCTTATGAGTGGGCTCCGGACTCGTCGCGCCTCTGCCGTCCGATCGGTGGTCTGTAACTCGTGCCCCACGTTGGGCGCCAGTTGCGACCCCCGGGAAGGGACCCCCGACCCGCGGGGGTGAGGTGATGAGGGTCGCTACTAATTTAGTGGGCCTTCACGAGCAGATCCGATCTGGAAATTGAACTTCAAGAGGTTAATGGAAACAGGCTCAAGACAACGTTCGCTGATTAAGAGCCTTTATTTTTTGGGGCGCGCTGGAACTTATAGAGGAAGGACCTCAGGGGGTGGTACAAGCATGTCAATCAAGTCTCAATTCAAATATACACCAAATACGGTAAAGACAAAGCTGTAATTTTCCATCAGTCATTAGTTGCATTCCACAAATGCTTGTCAGCATAAGTCAGGTGCAGGAATTAGGGAGGGGTAGGAAGTATACAACAGAACACCTTAACCTTTTGTTAACAAAGACAATTGCTCTGTAAGGGTACTTCCCTCTGGCTAGGCGGGTGGGCTGCCCTGTGTAAATTTAACTTTAATGGTTAGCCTTTTCCTTTGTCTCAAGGGCATGTGTGCTCACAGTCACGTAGGCGGAAGGCCAAGAAACGGTTGACAGACTCCATTTTGTTCAAGGTTCTAGCAGTCCCCAACAGTACTAGCTGTTCTAGAACTGGCTCTGCAGACCAGGCTGGCCTCAGACTCACAGAGATCCTCCTGCTTCTGACTCCCAAGCACTAGGATTAAAGGTATGTACCACTATGCCCATACTCAAGCCCAGCTCTGATCAAACTAAATAAGTCTTCCTGGAGTTTTGCTACCCTGTGAGTCTAGAGTCAGTAGTAAAAAATATGGCTTTGTCCCAAAAAAACCAGCTACCCCCCCACTGTCCCCATGGACTTGTCCTTTCCACCCCTGCTGAAGGTAAGTACATAGAACCAAGGGTCATGGCTGGTAGTGTTGAAATTTATTCTATCACCTGTTAAAACAGTAAGGAAGACTTTGTTTGTTGGAGATCATGACTATAGTAGTAGGAGGGGCTAGTTTTTCCCTTGAGGCCAAATGCAGTGAAGACAGTAGGTTAAGGGGATCAATAGATGGAAAATTACTAAGAGGAAGCAAGAATCTTGTCAAGGACATATCATCATTAATCATATCTTGATAAATGCGGGTAGGACAACTTGTCTCTCTGTTAATGTTGGTTCTGGCAGGGCCTAAGAACCAACCTAATTTTTTAAAAAGGCACTGAGTCCTAAGGGTGGTTGCCATTGGATATGGCAGAAGTGAGGTCCCTATCATCAATTCCTGTCTCAGATCTCGGTGTCCTCCCAACACTTAACCTGAACCTACACCTGCCCTATCCACCACAAAGGTGGAACTCTAGCTCACACCAAGACAGACTTCATCCCTGAAGTTAATAGTAAGAGAAACAAAGACTGGAATCAGCTGGAAGCATGACAGAAAGAATTACTTGGCTCTAGACCCAGAGCTCTAGATGCTGAAACCCACTTTCCACGTCTCCCATGGAACGCCATCTCTAAATAAACAAACAAACAAATCTAAATCACTAATGGATGCGCAGTCTAAGAATTTGTGTGCAAGATGAGAGACAAACCCATTGGGACATGAGGCAACAAGACCAAAGGGCACACAGGATCCAGATGCCTGGCACCGTTTTGTTGGTTAGTATTGCGTGAATGAAGGAACTCAAATCCATTGCTAACTCTGAAATGCTGCACTGTTTAAAACAGCGATTCTCCTGGAATCAACCTAGACGCCCCTCAACCAATAGATAAGGAAAATGTGGTGCATTTACACAATGGAGTACTGCTCAGCAGTAAAAAACAATGGCATCTTGAAATTTGTAGGCAAATGGATGGAACTAGAAAAAGCCATCCTGAGTGAGGTAACCCAGACCCAGAAAGACAAATATGGTACGTACTCACTCATAAGTAGATATTAGACATAGAGCAAAGGACACCAGCCTACAGTCCACAACCCCAGGGAACCTAGATGACCCTAAGAGAGACATACATAGATCTGCCTAGGAAGGGGAAATGGACAAGATCTCCTGAGTAAATTAAGAGCATGAGGGCAGGGAGAGGGTGGGAAGGGAAGAGGGAGAGGGAAGGGGAGCAGGGGAATGTATAGCCCAATTTTTTTAAATGGCAAAAGAAAAATGAAACAGAGGTTCTCAGTCTGAGGATGTCATATCAGATATCCTGCATAACAGATATTTACATTTATTATAATTCTTTTTACTTTTTAATGATTTATTTATTCTTATTTTATGTACATTGGTGCTTTGCCTGCATGTAGGTCTGTGTGAGGGTGTCAGATCTTGGAGGTACAGACAGTTGTAAGCTGCCATGTGGGTACTAGGAATTGACCCCCCCTTTGGGGGGCCCCCTGGAAGAGCATAAAGTGCTCTTAACCACTGAGTCATCTCTCTAGTCCCCTACATTACAATTCTTAACAGTAGCAAAACTACACTTATGAAGTAGCAATGAAATAATTTTATGGTGAGGGTCACCACAACATAAGGAATTGTATTAAAGGGTCACAGCACTAGGAAGGTTTAGTATAAAGGGGCTAGCTGGTCATGACAGTCCATGTCTGAAACCTGGAATCATAGCATTTGACACACTGAGACAGGAGGATCACCTGTAGTATGTAGTGGGACCCTAGTTCAAGAAAAGAAAGGAAGAGAGAGAGAGAAAGAGAGAGAGAGAGAGAGAGAGAGAGAGAGAGAGAGAGAGAGAGAGAGAGAGAGAGAGAGAGAGGATATGAAGGAGCCTTGGAAACATTTCACTATGTGAAATCAGCCCCACATACAATGATGAATGCTATGGGATTTCGGGTACCTGCCCTAGCAAAATTCATAGACAGGGAGTACAATAAAGGTTATAAGAGGCTGGGGGTGGGCAATGTTGATTTGCCAATTAACGAGTGAGCAAGCATCTCAACTTGCGATGATATGAAAAGCTCTGGAGATGGATACTGGTGATGGTGGCACAGCATAGTGAATGTGTGTAACACTATTGGGTTGCACACTTAATACTAGTGAGTTGTACCCTTACAAATAATCAAGGGGCCAAACACAATAGTGCACACCTTTAATCTCAGCACTCGGGAGTCAGAGGCACATGGCTCTCTGTGAGTTTGAGGCCAGTCTGGTCTACATAGAGAGTTGCAGGACAGCCAGGGGCTACCTAGAGAGACTCTGTCTCAAAGAATGACCAAAGGACAGTTCTCCCTCAAGGAGCCCATGCTACACTTTAGTCTCTCTTACTTTCAGGGATTTCTCTTCGGAAAGCCTAAATGCAAACTCTTGGGTGGATCTCACTTTCTTCTGAGCTACTCTCATTCTTTCTCTCTATCTTTTTAAGGATTTGTTTCATGTATGTAAGTGTTTTGCTTACACTGATACCTGTCTGGTACCTGTGGAGGTTAAAAGAGAAACATCAGATTCCCTGGAGCCAGAGGTTCAGATGGTTGTGAGCCACCACATGAGTGGTAATCAAACGGGGTCCTCTGCGAGAGCAGCCAGTGCTCTTAACTGCTAAGCCATACCTCCAGCCCCATGTCTCTTTCTCTTAATCCCCGGGCTTAACCCAAATATTAAAATATCTTTGTTAGCCACTTCCCCTCCAAAATCATGGAGAGTTGGGTGTGGTAGCATGTGCCTGTGATCCCAGCACTTTAGAGTTATAAACAGGAGGTTCAAGAGTTCAGGCCTAACCTCAACTACCTAAGATGCTGTCTGAAAAGAATACAAACAACAAATTTATATCGTGTGAAACTTACTACATTAAAAAAAAAGGCTCTTGGGAATAGTTCACTTAGAACAGGTTAAAGAAAAAGACACAGGTACAACACAGGGACTTGTGGCCTTGGGACAACAGAAACTGAAGAAACAGGAGCTGAGAATGAAGCTCAGTGGGAGAAGTGCTCACCCAGCAAGGGCAAGTCCCTGGGTTCAAATCCCAGCCCCACAGAAGGCCAGAAAAAGGAATAACCAGAAGCCAGTTTTGCTTTGCACTACAGAGATTTTAATGGTGTTTGTCTGTTCTGCAGATCCCTAATAGGGGTGGTCTCGTACATGTTCCATGATGGTCTTCAAGCCAAGCCAGGTCTCTTCTGCTGTGGGCAAGATCTGCTTGGCTGGCAGGAGGAAACCATAGACACCTGTATCTCTCAGTTCAAAGGCAAACGAGTATTTGATGCCAAAATCATAGGCCCAGTCGATACTTCCACCACTGGCTTGGTCTGAGGGGCAAATGGAAATGAAATCTGATTACACTGTTCCTGTTAACCCCCAGCATGATCAAAGATAATCCGGGCCCTCTAAGCACGGGCTAGAGGAACAGACATAGTCTATGAGGGGTTCATGCCTATGACAGAACAAAGCACAAAAGTACTTTAAAACTAAACGTGTTCGACGGACATTGGTGGCGCACGCCTTTAATCCCAGCACTTGGGAGGCAGAGGCAGGTGGATCTCTGTGAGTTTGAGGTCAGCCTGGTCTACTGAGTGGGTTCCAGGACAGTTTCCAAAACAATACAGAGAAACCCTATCTTGAAAAACCAAAAAAACAAAGCAAAACAAAAAAGCTAAACTAAAAGTGTTCAAATGGACAGTATGCTTAGCCTCTCTTTGGTGTCATCGAGGAGCTTCTGGCTGTATTAACCCACTTGGAGCTTTGTTTGATACCCTAACTGGCATCTTCCTCAGCTTAGGGAGGCCACGGCATTTCCTTCTCAGAAGGCACACACATTGTTTTCTCTAGTGGAGTAGAACGGATTACAGATCAAGTGAGTGACTTGGTCCCTGGCCTCAGGGGACTCTCAGCACAAGGGTGGAGCAAGCTCCTCCGTGATGTCAAATCACGTGCCCAACACTGGGGATCATGGGTAAGCCAGTACAGTCATGCACATCTGGACTAAGTCTGGCCATTGATGCGGCACATGATGATGTAATACATGATGAAGAAAGATGGCATTAGACTACAAAGTCCTCAGGCATTCATGACTTGGAAAAGCTAAGCAATGGACTGGCCCTGAAGCCCCTCCCAGGGACGACAGGTTGGGATAGAGTTAGAGGAAGCCACCAGGTACCTAAGGACAAAGACCAGGGAGGCTATTGCAGGGATGACTCAAGGTGAGTGTTGTGAATTACAAGTCACCAAGTGTTGGGAGCAGAAGTTTTTAAATCACAGATTTTTGAGATTTTTGAATATCTGTATAGGCATAATAATATCTCTTGGGGGTGAACCCTAATCTAAAGGTAAAATTCATTTGTGGTTTGTATGTAGCTTATGTATTCATAGCCCAGAGATAACTATCACCACTGTTAGTGTACCTGAGCTTTGACTCAAACCTCTCATGTAAGATCAGATATGGAATTTTCCACTCGTGGCCTTCTCCTGGCAGGGGAAAAGTTTTAGCGCTGGAAGCACTTTGGGTTTGAAGTCTTCAGATTTGGGATGCTCAACCTGTAAAGCCCAAGAGTTTCTATGACTAGTGACTTTCCTTACCCACAGCAGCCACCACAGCACCTAGCAAGCAAAAAAACACTAAGTGGTTACTGACTGACTTCAGTGGATCCTCGTGAGTTCCAGAATGACCATCTTGTACCTTTGGCACAGCCAATCTCACTAAGAGGGTTAGAGAGGATAGACAGTCTGGGCTTCAGACAGAATCTTGATCCTGCAAATCACTAGCTGGTGATCTAAAGCAAGCCAATGTATGTCTAGGTTCCAGAAGATGCGTGTGTCAAGTGGGAATGAGTTGCAGCGGGAACTAGACGTGAAAAGGCAGAGTGTACAATTACAGGACTTCTTTGCACTCACTAGACACACCTTCCAGTGGCTCCTTTTGTGCCTATCTCAGTCTGAGGAGGCACTAGAATTGTCCCTATTATACAGAAAAAGAAACTGAGATCAGACCATCTATGTAGAACAAGCATTCAGTAACCAGCGCCTGCCTGACATGCACTAAATCACGTGTTCAATCCCCAGTACTGGGAAGAATACAATCAACTGAGTGTCAGTTATTATGATAGCAGTCATCATCAGTAAATGAGTAGGACCTGGTCAAGTTAGATTACATCAAAGATCAGAGACGCATGGAGGAGAGCATGCCTCCAGCCAACATGAAGAGTTAGCGAACAGTTTTATCCCGCGTACTATCTTTTGAGTCTCCCAACAGGCCATTTTACAGATGGACAAAAACAAGGGAGGGTAAGTAACTGGCCCAAGGTAACTTGGTTCCAAAGTGACAGAACTACAATTCAGATCCAGGTTTCTGTCTTCCGGGGTTGTATTCTTTCCCTAATTCTCTTCTAACTCTTGTGAATATGTGAAGCTCTTCAAAGAAGTTGTCCAGGAAATGTCTCACCTACCAAAGATGTGCAGCTGGCTGTCGCTTGCAGGGCAGGTGCTCAGCCCAGAGCTGCATGCCAACCTGAGTCACCAGGCAGGGGCTTAGTTCCTAGAGACAGTGCTTCTCCAGGTTGGGTGAGGCAGGATCCCAAGTCAGCACTGGCAGGCTTGCAGTCAGGAGTTGCATAAATGAAGGACCAGGTTCTAAGGGATCATACAGCAAACCTGAATGTGACTGACATTTGCTTACTGGAACTATCATTGATACCTATGTCCTCAGCAAGAAAAATATGCTAAACCTCAGCCTTCCAAGGTCTACAAGGCAAGGTAAAAGAAAAACTTAAATCCACTATAATGAAATGGATGAGGCATGTACGGGGGCTTCAGGGATCCAGAATGGTGTTCTGCTGACATCTATACTCCAGCCTCCACCCCAAGGCTGCCAAACAAAGACATGCCTTTCTCAAACTTGTTGTCATCAGGGTCCTAGGTTAGGTCCACTTCTCTGTGTCCACTGCCAATACGCGGGAGCTCTGGATAGTTGGTTCCCTGAGTGCTGGAGATATGGCCCAATCAATAGAGTATGTTCCTATTATATATGAAGTCCTGGGTCAGCACCAAGTGAACCCATAACATCCCATACTGCAATCCCAGCACTCAAAACTCTAGGGCAGGAGGATTGGATGTTCAAGGTCATCCTTGGCTACGTAGTAAGTTCAAGGCTAATCTCGAATACATGAAACCCTGTCTAAAACAAAACCAAAAGAACAACAACAAAAAAAAAAAACAAAGGTAAAATCAAGTCCACATGGAACTTGGTTTTGAAAGTCTCAGCAACTGTTTGCAAATCAGTCTTAGAGAACAGCCTAAAGCACAGATAATTAAGACTCCCAAGCCATTTGTTCCCACTAGGTGGCTAATCTCGCAATGAGAATATATTCCTAAAGGGAGCTTATAAAATATAAATAGTAACATCATCTTACATAAAATTGGACAAATCCAAGGACACAATAACTGAGACTTATCAATAAAATGAAATAGCAAATAACTAGCATGTAAATACAAAACATTCTACAGGAAGAGACGTTCACCTTAAAAAGATATACACAGGCATTGATGACAAGTAAGTATGTCTTTTCATCGACAACAACAAAAATCATTAGTAAAATTGAACATACGCTAAACAATGATTTTTTTCCTATAAGCTTCTTTAGTGTAGTGTAGATAACAAAGAAGAAAAAGAGAAAGGAAGGAAGGAAAAGCAAAGCCAAAAGCCCAAGTCTAAGAAGAGAAACTTCCATGACTGATTATATATCTCGGACGTGCTTTTTGAATTTCCATGAAGCATTCTGGACTTATGCTTTCTAAAACTCCCATTAAGAAAGCCACAAGTAGGGCGATGGTGGTGCTCACCTTTAATCCCAGCACTCGGGAGGCAGAGGCAGGACATATCTCTGTGAGTTCGAGACCAGCCTGGTCTACAAGAGCTAGTTCCAGGACAGCCTCCAAAGTCACAGAGAAACCCTGTGTCAAAAAAACAAAAAAGAGAGAGAGAAGGAGACCCTGTCTCAAAAAAAAAGGAAAGAAGGAGAGAGAGCAAGCAAGCCTCAAGGGGCCGGGCGGTGGTGGCTCACACCTTTTGTCCCAGCACTCGGGAGGCAAAAGCAGGTGAATCTCTGTGAGTCTGAGGCCAGCTGGCTCCACATAGTCTCCAAAACAGAAAAGCAAACAAACGGAAAAGAAAACTGCAACTAACAAGTGGGTATTCCCACAAACGCTCCCTCACCTCCCCCATGGCTGCGGCTGTGTCAACATGCAGAGAACAGGTCCCTGTGCTCCAGCTGACTCCCTGTTCCTGCTCTCCCAGCTCCTTGGCATCCGCCTTGCGCCAGTCAGTACGCGCGCATAGATTTACGTGTGTGCGCATGCGTCTTAAAAATGAAGACCAGCCTCCCCCACTCTCCTGAACCTGTTCTTGCTAAGGCCACTAATGAACTAGTGACAAAATTCAGTGGAAAATGTTCTTTCCTGTGCGTTGACCTTTACATGGCCTTTATCATTTTATCCACTGTCTCGTTTTTTAATAATTGCTCTTTCCCCTGGTTTCCGAAACCCTAGGCCCCTCTGCTGAGCTCCCACTGCCTTTCTCCTCTCAAGGCTCTTCCCACTCCAAACACCTCCTTGCTTCGCTGTTAAGGCCTTCTCCAGACACCTCTCCCTACTCAAGCTCCCACCTGCGGTGTCTCCCTCCCTCCCTCCCTCTCTCCCTCCCTCCCTCCCTCCTTCCCGTCTGCAAAATCTCAGGCCATATCATCGGAAGGCTGCAAATCCTACCAGTACTTCGAGCTCAATGTTTCTATTCTACAACCCTACCCTTGTCTTTTCAATGATCATCTTTCATGATCCAGAATGTCCCTCTCCGTGAGTGGCACAACCTTCAGCAAGAGACTCTCCACTGCCAATAAAGAACAGGAGGCCAATGGCTTTATGTCCCAGACACTGCCCACACCAAGTGCTCCAGCCCTGACTCCTCCCACTCCTGCTGGGGAACGCATCTCCTTTCGGTCCATGGCCGTGAGCCTCCACTCTGATGCTTCACTGAGAACTCCAAATGGCTTCCGGAATCCTTCGAATTAAACTCAGAGTCTTCATATAGCACACCAAGTCCACAACCCTCCAGTTTCTTCCTCACACACTCGCTCTGGTTCTCAGAGCCCTTGGTGCAGTTTCCTACTTCAGTACCCTGGGATCTGACTAGTCGGAATGGCCGCTTACTCCTTTGTCTCTTCTTGAGCTATGCAATGGCCAGTCTTTAAAACCCCACTTTCTTCCTATGTGATGTTTCTCCAGAGCATTGAATTGCCCACCCCAGTTTTATGACATCTTGAACCACGCATGACCTACTATGGCACATGTATACTAATGTTCCTTTGAAGTCCTGTTCATCTCTCTTAAATATGGCCTCTGAGCAGGCAAGATGGTTTAGCACTTGTTGCAAGTCAGATGATCTGAGCTTGATCCCAGGAACACAGAAGGTGGAAAGAAAGAACTGACTCTCACAAGTTGTCTTCTGACCTCTGTGTACACACACACACACACACACACACCACATATACACATATACACGGACACACACACACAATAAATGCCAAAGCAATTGAGTTCTTGGTAGGTTTCCTGCATCTCCAGTACTTGGCACCATGCTCAGCACATGACAGATGCTGAATGAATGGATGTGTGCTTGAGACACGTGCTCTTCTAGTTTCCAAAGGACCTTTGGGCACAGGAGCACTGTGGAAATGGACACTCTCTCTCTGTAGCTTCAAGTTTCTAACTTTATAAGAAAGGTGCATTTAAATGGTTCAGAATTCAGGGTGCACTGAGACCTTCCCTAGTACCCACTGGAAGGCAGAAGAACTTCACAAAGTCTGAGAAAACTTCTAGATGTATCCCTGCATCGTCTTCCTTTTCTCCCCGTTCTGTGTACAGACAGCGGCCTGCCACAGCATCTTTCCATCGAACCATCCAGGGGTTCTCTGTTGTCGCTATTTGGCTTGTGTTTGAGTTTTTGATACAGGAAACTGAACCCAGGGTTTTTGAAACCAGAACCCTGCATGTACTAACTAAGCACTTGCTCTACCACTGAACTCCCCAGTCCCTAATCATGTTCTCTTAAAGGAGCCACGTCCAAAGATTGTGCATAACAGCATTGAGATGTAAGGTCCTGGCCAAGCTTAGGAGACAGCACAAAACTCACACATCCAGGAAGTCCTCTGTTATCACACAATAAATATTTGATGGGGAGCCCAGAACTACTCAGGGAAAACCGTCAGAGCTGGGTTCTGTGTGTGAAGGACTAACCCCTTTCACATGAGGGCATGAGGCCATTTGTACAAACGTGGATCGAGTTAGACACTTACAGATGACGGAACAGATCGGCCCCACTTCGTAGCTGGTACCATGCAGTTTCTTCAAAGACTGGGCAGCCTTTTGGGCCAGCTCATCCTAGAAGTAAAAGGAGTGGGTAAAACTTGTCTCTTGAGAAACCAGTGGGAGAGTGGAGACCTGGGGAGGCCTGGTTAAGGAGACTCCTCCGCTGACTGACACAGGAGCACACTGTCCCTTTGCTCTCAACCGTTTCACTAGAAAGTAAACACCCGCGCTGTTCCCCTGCCTTCAAACACGCAGCATGGCGCAGCGATTCTTTCATTAACCAGAGAAATAAAATCACCAAGTGGTTACAGGTGTTTGTGGCCAGGCCTGAGAACCTGAACTCAACCCCTGTGACTCTCATGGTAGAGCAAGAGAACCAACTCCGGCAAGTTGTTCCCTGACTTCCACACACACACGCAAAATAAACAAATGTAGTTTTAAATTTTCTAGAAAAGTGAGCTGGCCCAGTGGTGGTGGCGCACGCCTTTAATCCAGCACTTGGGAGGCAGAGACAGGCAGGTCTCTGTAATATGGAAGCCAGCGTGGTCCAGGGTGAGTCCCAGGGCAGCCACACCAACACAGAGAAACCCTGACTCAAAAAAAAAAAAAATTGAGTGGGCTTAAGGGGCCTAAAGAGAACACACATGTACTAACTTCAGGGCGTACCTGAGAAGTTGGTTTTTTGGGGGTTTTTTTTCCCTCCAAGTTGATCCCTACACTGGCTTATTTCCCTATGATTGTCTCTTTTGCCAAGAAGCAGAGCTCAGCAAGATATTTTCCATTACTCAAGGTTTCCAGTTTTGACTGATTGAGGCTTTACTGTCCTTGCTAAGGATAAATGTAAGGTTTTGAACTTGGGTCCAGAGAAACAACTGTACAAATACCAGACGGGAGAAACCTGGCTCAGCCGAAGCCTCAGAGAGCCTGGGGGTTCCAGTTGTCAATGAGCCCAGAGTGAATCAACAGCAGGTGCAACTGCCAAGAGCTAACTAAGGTGACCCTCAGCTGCACCCCTGAAACCGCACGGCAGGCCAGGGTGGGGTTGGGATCGCAGTTACAGCCCACTCTGGGCTTTACGTTCACTTGGGGCTACCTTTTCAGAACACAGACAACCAAAGCTAGCGTTCAGGAGACAGCAGCTGGGAAGGGAGTTTGGCCCCATATTGTTAAGTCCTTAAAAGAATCATGATGGTTTGGAGGAGGGATGCAGTAAGGGAAGATGCTGAGTAATTCATAGATTCATCTCCCCAGAAGGACGAACTTCCATCAGTATAACCAGATGATAAAGCGGGGCTTGGGGGGATTGTCTCCCCCCAAGCAGAGAGAGAAAGCGCTGACCTTCAGCCCACTCCCGGATGATACGGGCTCCCTTGAAGGCAGAGAGAGCAGCCCTAGGCTGCAAGTTACGTAGCTATCTCCACACGCTGGAGTACAGGATCTAGACGACTGAAGGCTATCTAGGTGGAGATGTACGCCTTGAAAGTAGAGAAGAGACCTCAAGAGGGAAAGAGCTGTTTGAAAGGCATGAGGGACAGTGGTGGAAGGGGGGGGGGAGGGGAGGGGAGGGATGGGGAAGAGTGTGGGGACAGGGATCAATGGAAACTATTTTTTCAATGTCATAATGAAACCTTATACTTTATGTACTAATTTTTAATTAAAAATAAATTATATATTTTTTAAATGGAGCAGACAGTACATTTAGGTTCCTTCCAACTCTGACATTTTCCCCAAGATGTCACTTTGGTAAGAAGGTCCCCTTCAACCCTGAAAACTGTCCTAGCAAGTCTAAAGTCCAACTGATCCAAGGAAGACACATTTGAACTGGTGTTATCTATTCTATGGCAGCCTGTGGCTGCTGACAAAAATCTATTTGAAGGTAAACTGTCCAAAAGGTTTCAATTCCAGGCTTATCCCTAACAGATGGGTTTCAAAATCAAGCCTAGAAGCCAAATTGGAAATATTTGCACATTCTCTACATCTGGGAATAACTGTTGCTCAATTGTGAACAGCTTCCTGAGAAGCTACCATCTGACCCAAGGCTGCAGCCGATCTGTCTATTTCTCAAGTGAGAAAGATGACAGAAGGAACCGAGTTAGGGAAGAGAGCGTTTTAAGCACACCAGTACACTGTCGCGTTGGGGCACAGAGCCAAAGGCCCCAGGTGAGTGACAGGGAGCTGTTTTGCCTAGCACACAGCACCTATCTCGCAGTCCAAGAACACCAAGTCCACATCCAGCGAGCTGATCAGGAAGCACACCCTGGAAATTAACGGTGGCAGGCTCCTCAAGCCAGTCACAGTGGTGCATACCTGTAACCTAAGCACTCAAGAGGCTGAGGCAGGCAGGGGAATCCGAACTTGGTAATTTTAGAGCCAGCCTGGGCTAGGCTACCTGAAGTAAGAACCTGCCTCAAAAAGAAAAAAGAAAATCAGATTCTTGGATCATCTATGTTAAGGCAACAGAAATTTTATGGATTCTTTTCACCAAAGAAACTCAGTTTACGATGGGCATATGTCTCATTGCCTTCATAACCGGTCACTAGCATGCCTCTGCCTGGGTACCTAACTTTATGAATGGAGCTTAACCTGTCCAGCCCAACAGATGTAGTTGTTGAAATCAAAATCACAGTGAAGGAACTCACCAGCTCAGCAAAGCTGTCTGACTTGGTGCATTTATAGCCGTAGGGGAACATGAGAAGCTGGGAGTAGCTGTGCAGGGTAATGAAAGCTTTGATTTTGCCGTGACTCTTGATGAAGTCCACTATGGCTTGCACTTCAACTTCAGAGTTGGCCTTGGGTCCACGGTATGAGTCGGAGCAAGGGTTACTACTGGCGCCAGGTCCTGGGGGGGATGAAGAAGACGCCTGGTTAGAGCAGTAGCTAAGAAGACACTGCGGGGTGGAGGTTACCAGGTACATGAATAAGTTTCTCCTGTGGAAACCAAAGAAAGCCCACCCTTGTGTTAGGGCAAGTCTCCTCCTCTGAGGATACGGCAGGAAGCCTAACCAAATGTATCCTGGACACATCTCTTCTTTCAAAATATGGTTCCTTTACAGCAGAAAGAGCTACCAGATGAGGCTGTCTCCCCTGAAGAGCCCCTGCACTGCGTGGGAGTTCTGTAAGTTCATTTTCTGGGACCTCTTCCAAAACTGTAGAGCCCAGGAGCAGAGGTTTCTGTGCGCCTACACTTCCACGTCACAAAGCCGCAAATGTGAGGAACCTCCGGCGTTCTATCTGCCCTAAAGAAATCACAGCATTTGCCAGGGCCACCTTTGGCCTTGGTTCTCTCAGCAACTAGAGTTGCTCAAGAGAACTGAAATGGGGGTCACTGCAGGCCTGGCAGGGCCGAGAATGCTTGAGACTCCCTTGGGGAGCAGGTGGGGGCTGAGATTTCCAAGTTCTCCGACTGAACTGGGCAAAACCCATGAAAATATAACTTCTGCTACCTTATGTTAAAACGATTTAAGAGTAACGTTTCGAGGGGAAGTGGCATCGAATTACTGGATACAGCTCAGCATTCGGGCTCTGGTGCTTTGATTGCATTTTTCCCATGCACAAAATAATAAGAATAATAAATTGCTAAAGCAATGAACGAAGTTTCACTCATGCATATCCCATCGCATTTCCCTAGTGGGTCCTGTGCCAGTTCTGTGACTCTCGATAATTCATTTGGTTTACAAATATTTAATGATTGCTCTCTGTGTTGCAGACTCTGTGCCAGGCATTAGGAAAAAGACACAGCATCCATCCAGTGTTTGCAGCGCTTAATCTGCATTGTCAACTTAACTGGATTTGGAACACCTAGGAAACAGACCTCTGGGAGATCCTGAGGTCTTTCCAGAGACATTCAACTGAGGAGAGAAAACCCACTCTAAATCCTGAATGTGAGTGGCACCTTCCCACAGGCTGGGGTACTTGGATGAATACAAAAGGAAAAGGAGGGGGAGCCAGCTGGTCGCCAGCACTCATCTCTCTCTGCTTATTGACCAGGGACACAATGCACCCACATTCTTCATGCCCCTACAACCACCGCCATGACAGAATGGTCCTCCAATCGCATAGCCTAAACAAGCCCTTCTTCCCTTGAGAGGCAGTTTGTCAAGTATTCAGTCACATCAATAAGAAAAATAACTAATGTGCTGTTGTTGGAAGCTAGCAGGAAAAGCAACAACAAATTTCAACTCTGTGATTTGTCAAACAGAGGGTTAACTGATGCCTGAGAGCATGAAGAACACCCAGCTAGCTTGCAAACAGAAAAGCTGCAGTCAACACAACCAGATGAGCAAGCTGATGTTTTATCTTTGACTCTATTTCAAAAATCCATTTCTTAACTCCGTTTGTACTTTTTTTTTTTTTTGCAAGTTTTCCTTCTCGAAGCATCTACCAGATGATGTAATGCTTGTCTTCCTAATAGATCCTAACCCCCTCTAGCGGTTGGTTCGGCGCTTCCTGTGCTCCCGCCATTGTGCAAAGCCTGGCTTCTTCAGCTCCGAGGCAGAACTGTGCCTGCTGGGAAACCCAGACGCGAGGCAAACCATATGAAATGCCGCCTGGATCTGTGACAGGGCTGCACTCTCTCCCGTGAAGGGAGAGAATTCAGTGAAGTGTTTCAAAGGGTTTTAAATGACTTGAATCATAAGTGGACTAAACAGGCTGACGGCACTGCAGAGCCCCTGCAAACCAGTCAGTCGCCCAGACTGCAGTCTGACAGTCCCTGAGGACCACACCGCGTGCTCACCTCCGAAATTTGCATCCCAGTTCCGATTAGGATCCACACCAACACAGATGCTTCCAGACAGTTTAGACCGGGTCTTTCGCCACATGCGGTTCTTTAAAAATCCAGCCGAATACGAATACGGGGGAGGAAAGAAAAGACGGTCATCCCCTCTGATCAGCGGCGTTCTTTTCTCTTGCTCCCCACATTCAGAACTACACAGTATCTCTTTTGCCCACAGCTGTCAAACGGCCCCCACACCGGGTTCACTTTATGTATTTCCTCTCTCAAATAATGCCTGCCAAACCATGTTCCATAAAACGTGACTGTTAAATGCTAGCCACTACCGCAACACAAAGGGAAAGAGATGGAATTTCTGAGAGAATGGTTTGGGAAAATATGGGGATAAATCGGTAACCTTACTATAGGACTGCCAAGGGTGTTTAATGTTTTAATGTTTTTTAAGAACCTCTGAAAGATCAGAGGCAGCATTTCTCTGGCTTGCCTGTGGATCCTATATTCATGCTGTATGCCGGGCTTTGAGCAGAGAATGCATGTCTCTTTGAAAATGCTGCCGTCATTGTCATCGTTATCTGCTCTCTGGAAGAATAAATTGAAACTCTGATTCGTTCTGAATATACGTGAGGTCACAATGCCACAGTGGTATTTTTGTCATGGTACATTATGGGGAGGGAGCCTACCTAACTCCTTTTAGTGATGTTACAGAGGATTTCTTTGACAAATTGTGAGTAAAAAATGCTTGACTGCATTGTACCACCTACTTAAATCCTGTTGCAATCCAATTGTCAGCAGGTAATATCTGCCTCCACTTTTCTGTCAGTCACACGTACCCCGCACACACAGACACGCGCGCGCACACGCACGCACACATCTCGGAGATAATTGGGGCAAGTCTCCTAGGTGACTCACTGTGACACACAGCTCTCTAATAGTCCAGCATCACAGCTGAAATAAGCTCTGGCTGAGTAGACACGTAAAGACATCGAGTGTCGGAATAAGTGACTACAAACACCTCCCTGTGCCTCATTCAAGGCCACTACTGAGAGAGTCAGCACCTTGCTTAGAGTAAAGCAAGACCAGAAAGATTACTTTTGTTTGGTTTTTCCAGGTTCCTACATGCCTTCTTAAGTCCTATGAATGAACAACAAAACAAAACAAAAAAAAACACAAAACAACAACAAACAAAATAAAATTAAGTGGCTTACAGAGGTATGGGAGAACACATAACCATCAGGGTTTGTGACAGGCAGCAGGAAGATATCCAGGTTTTTCAGAAGGGAAGTGATGGATGGATCAGTTCCATAATCAGAAGCAAGCTGGGTAGAGACAGAGTTTTGAGTCTTGCAAATCCCCTTTTGCCAGAAAACGCGATGCAAAATACTATGGCTCAGTGTTTTTGTGGTTTGGTTTTTGTTTTGCTCTGTTTTTTCCAAACATGAATTAGGAACCATTGTTAATCAATGGGAAACTTCCAAATCCCTTGCAGAACAGTCTCCTGCAGCTTAATACACTAGTGTCCATAATTTCTCTTTCCAGTGACAATAATTTTCTTATATTAAAAAAAGTCAGCTATCATTTATCTATTAGAAGTAGCAACACTCTCTCCCTGTTATTTGCAGTGACGCTTTTTGCAATGGTATGTGTGGTTTATTTGGATCTATGAGCCAAATTATAAAAACTTAATATTCCTTAATCCTCCCATGGGATGACTTTCCAAAAGAACTCAGGACCAACATCAGATTCCTTAAATAGGCCAGGGTGTTGCTGAAGGTATGGAGAAGTGGTTAAACTCCATTTGGGGAATTACATTTTGACTGCCATCAATTGCAAGAGAGTTGAAGTTTCTGCTGGATTAAAATTTATTCATTTCCTGTGCTCAGTCATCCTAAGGCATTACTATTCAACTGTTAAATATCCATTTCATAATACCCTAAAGGTAACCGCATTTTAATTGAAGGGAAAAATGTATCAGTTGGCATGCACGTGGTTGCACACGCTTCAGTGATCTGATGTGGATTGATTTCCTTTGCTCATGAATTAACATTCTGATTTATAGTGTGTCATTTTGGAATTACTTAAGAAATAGCAGCCTAGGTCACACCCAGTATCGTGTCCTGACTCTTGCGCCAAGGACCATGTGGGAAAAAGAGACTGCTACCTCCCCACCTCAAAATCAGATCTGGACAACATTCAGAGTGACCCAGACACCCTCAGCTCGTTTCACTTTAGATGTGTAGGTCAAAGCAAGCTCTTCTCGCACCTATTTCCATTCGCTCTCTGAAGCCCTTTCAAGATTTAATAGGAGAGTCACCTCCCTCAAAATAATAAGCTTCTCTCCTGGTCCTATGCTGAAAGTCGACACCCAGAGGCCTTGCCGGCCACCCTTTTCAATTCTTCCAGCTTGCTGTGTTTTTAACGGGGGGGGGGGCAGGGACAATAGCACACGGCAATCCTAGATGGGTAAACCAAAGAAAAGAAAACTTAGCAGATTCTGTTTCCTGCCAGGGTTGTAAGGGAAGGATTTGCTTGAGAGTGCTTGTGATCAGGCCCACCGGCACAGTGTGTGTTTACTCAGTGAGCCTAACTCCCGAAGGACAAAATACGAGAAGAATTTTAAGCAAAATGACCTTATTTGCTGTCCACAGTGCGGTAGCTTGTGTAACCCACTCTCGAGCGTGGATGCCCGCATCTAGCCAGATGGCTGGCTTGTCTCCTCCGGTGCTGAACTGCAAAACAAGCATAGCAATGGAAACAGCTTCTCCCCAGTCTGCGGGCGGGCGCCTCTCCCCGGGGCCTCTCTGTCCCCTTCCTGCTCTTGCCCAGATTGAGAGAACAGGAGGAGACGGACAGGTGACACTGGCTTGTTTCTTCTGTCAGTTTGTTTGGTGTCTTTCTTTTAACGAACGCTTAAAGGGAGATTAACAAGCAAAGCAAATTTTTCCTCCCTTGATGTTTGTGGAAAAAAAAACACATCACAGGTAATGTAATGGAAATACGCTCACGTGTTGTTAGCCAGGGAAGAAGCAGGTTTTGGATAGCATGTCATTCTTATTTAAAAGACCAGTTCACAAGGGAGCGAACACAGGAACCAAATAAACAAAACGGACAAAAATGAAATTGTGAAATTGGAGCTGCCAGAGCTTGCCTCCTTGCTGGTTGGTTGGTTCCTCTGTTTTCCAATGTTTATGCATGGATTATATTATTTTAGTTCTAAGAATCTCATCAGAGCTTTCCCAGCCCTTAATGAGAACAGGACAGCAAGTCCCCACGGTGCACCACAGAGTTTCAGTTTTATGATCTAAGTGACTGGGTTATTTGGAACAGTAGCCTTGCCAATTGGATCAGTAAATAGGGAGGAAAAGATTATTTTTGCACCATCAGGTTCTATCTCTGTGCAGCATCCTAAGCACAACAGATTAAGGTAAATGAGAAATGCAAATTTTTGCTAAAAATTTTACATTTCACGGGTTTGAGAAAGTTTTAGTGAAAAATGTGTTGAGCCTTTTCCTTCAAAGTGCTAAGATGTAATATGCATGAAACTTAAAACAAACAAACAAAAAGTGTCTCAACCACCAAATTGTTTGGAAAATCGAAGGCCAGGAAAATCCAAGGCAGGGAAGAATTTGGAGTTCCCTGACTCAGCGGTAGGCCAGCCGGTAAGGAGCTGAAGAAAGCCCAGGCCAGCCGTCCTGCAGGAGGCTAGCAATCCCTCCCAGGCCAGCTCGGGGAAACCGCTCTGGAAGTCCATCTGTCCCACTTAGTCAGCTGGTTCCTAGCCACGACGTTTCCAAATTTAGTAGGGCGTTGTGACATTACCTCTCCCTCACACCCCCCCTTAACACACTCTTTCTAGGAAGTCTGGGGAAACAATTTTCACTGTTTTTCTGAACAAAGTGCAAATGCTTGAAACTATCAGCCTGAAGACTGTTAGCGGTGACAGTAGCAGCGAACCTTAGCCGTTTTTCAACTGTCACCTTAAAAAAAAAAAAGCCTTCATTCCAGGGCAATACCTTTGCATTTAGTTGTCTGTCATCCTCAGCATACTGAGAAACTATTTTTTTTAATGTGCAGGCAGTTGCTAGGTTTTTTTTTTTTTTTTAAGAGCTGGCTTTAAAAGAAAAGAGATAGGAAAAGAAAAACCCGCAAAGAACTCCCACTTCGATTAATTTCCCAGTGCTCGCCTTCCCCTCCCCCGCGCCCGCCGCCTCTCCTGCTCGGCTCCAATTGGCGCATTCGGCCCGGCTCCCCGCGAGCGCATCTATCAGGACACGAGCATTAATTCTCTCCTGCAGACCTGCGTCAGCGTGCAGGAAAAGAGAAAAAAAAAGAGAGAGAGACAGAAAGAAAAGAAAGGGGGGCAGGCGGTGGTGGGGATGCTCAAAACCAGCAAAGACCGGTTAGGAAGAAAAAAAAAGAGAGAAAGGGAGAAAAGAAAACCTGCTTTGCAAGCCGAGCCGGGAGGAGCGGGATTCTAGAAGCGTCCAGAGACGGGAAACAAAAGTCTCTGCCCCCTTTATACCTTGAGCACATTCAGGGGCCGATTTTCAAAAGATGAACCTATATTCACTTTGCTCACTAGACCAGGGTGCTCAGCCACGAGGTTATCCATTTCTTGGTAAATCTGAAAGGTTCAAATGATAAACAGGCATATGTAATTTAGCGAATGCAGCTAATAGGGTCTTCCCGCCCCTCCGCTGCCGGCCTCTCCGCGTTCCTGCGGCTGCTGGATGATGAGTCACTGTGAAGAGAGAAGCCATCTTGCCGCAGCACAGCCGGTTCTTTCCAGTTCTGTGCAAAGTAAAATGGCACTTGTCTGGTTTGCCTGTAGCTTTTTTTTTCCTTACCTCTAGACCCTGTCCAGCAGGGAAACCTTTGGCCCTCACCGGCAAACCGCGGAGGCACCAAAGGATTATGTGGGTGGCTTGTTCTACAAAATACAGCTGCGCTAGTGCAGGCCCCGGGGACAATGGAGACATCCTCCAGCCACTGGCTACCCCGACCCCAATTTTGAAGGCTCATTGAGATTCCGTACGTTCTCCACACATCCAGGCTGCGGCCATTACAGAGTCGGGGACCTGAAAACAGTATCCAGCTGTCGCCAGCATTTGCTGTTGGCAAGTTAGGGAGAGCACGCTTTTGTATTCTTTCTTCTAGCCAAACTAGGACTATTTTTTTTTATTGAGGGGGATGATTTTAGGAAGGTAATAAGGCACATATATTGCATGTATTTATTACACAGGTGACATTGTTCCATGTTCAATTGCACTGATATTTCTGGCAGTGAAGCAAAGGAACAAACCCATTCGAGTCATATTTTGCCCCCAAATCGCTTTAAATAGGTCTTACCACTAAATAAATTATGGCAATCAATTTTAAACCTCTTCCTTTGGAGACTTAGTGTCCCCCTTACCCTCCTATTCAGTCAGACAGAGCGGATAAATAGACCTGTCCCAGCTTCCGGAAAGGCTCTGTGTCACATTAGTAAGTGCAGTGCTGTCCCTGTACCTACACAGCAAGCAGCCCATGGCCCAGACGGAGAAAGTCCCAGAAAGGCAGAGACTGGCGTGACCTTGGATCAGTGTGCAGTTTGGGAGCCTCCGGATGTACACTCATACCCTTGGGAAGGTGGGAGACAGCAGACTCCAAGCGGCCCCTGACACATCCAAGACCATAATAGTTCATTGTCACTCTTGAGTGACTCTGTGAAGCCTGTGCAGCTTCAAAATCAGCAAAGAGCGCTGTGGGAAGAATGGGAAAGAGCTATTTGTGGACTCACTTAAACTTTCTGGCACCTCCAAAATAACTGTGTAGCTGCTGGGGACTTCAGTTCCTGCATTAAGCAGGCACTGCCCATGAAATCTGAGGGAAACTTTAAGACGCTAGGAAATAAAAGGAACATAATATCGAGGTTGTCAGATCAGCACGTGGAAGCAGCCTTGTCCTCAGGGAAAAGAGGGACTTGCTTCTCTGGTCCTCCTCCTGAAATGCCTACCTCGTCCAGGGTATGGTAGGCCCCAAAGTTGAAGCTACCACTGCGCTCTCTTCTCTGGTTGAAAAGCATTTCTTCACGCTCTTGATCCAACAGAACCTGAGAGAAACCAATTCTGCCGTTAGTTGCCGGCAATATAATGGTGTGTGCTGACTTCGGTCCCCCGCACCAAGCTTTCCTCATTGTGTGTGTATCTTGTCCACGGGCTCTGGGTCAGACACTTCTCTTACTACGGCAGTGCTCTGAAAAGGGATCGGGTGTGCACGGGCTGGGGGCCAGACAGCAGCTGCACACAGAGGGTGATAGTACTTAGAGGACCTTTAGGCCGCCTTGTGGCTGGCTCAACCTGCCTTTCTGAGTTAACCTCTAATTAAAAACTAATTGAATCACAGATTGCTTTTCTTCCATTTGCATGAAATGCGAAAAGGGATAGGAGGAGGAGGAGTTCACACTGCAGGGAGACCCATGTGATGCTTACAGGTCCCTTCCCTGGCAGCGTGGGAGAGGACCAGGAGGCCTCTGGAAGGCTGCTCTCGGGCATACTTACTTGAACGTCTTCAAGCATGATGGAATAAACAATCCCCTGGGACTCTAGGAAAACTTTGACCGCCTGGATGTTGACAAAAGGAACTCGGACATGGACTGCCTGCCTGGGGATGGTGGGTGATTTCCAAAAATCAAGCTGAAAGGATTAAAGGGCTGAGTCATTCTGGGAGAAATAGAGAGTTGTACCCTGATGGATTTCAATAATGCAACGTTACCTAGTTTATTTTGAGTTTACAAAATCAGAATCACTCTGGAATCGCTATTATAGAGCAACAAGAATTTCTCTGTATCCAGGCATCAGCAAATACGTTTTGTTTTTAGCACACACATCTCATGGCTAGATATTAAAACTGGCAGAGGAACAGATGATCTTAAATTACGGAAGGTCTTAAAAAATAAGACTCAATCTGGCACTCAAGTAGTCCAATTCATTTCATCATGGGATATTAATGCCATAAATTATTTAAGAAGGGAAATAATGAATTAAAGGTGTTCAGCAGAGTTTCAAAGTAGCTTTCACAACTTCCATCCTGTTTTCATTCTTTCAATATTTTCTGACTGTGAGAATGAGCCACAGGGAGAGAAGACTATCTGCTCAGTGCCATGTAGTTGGAACTAAAGTCCAGGTTTTGGGAACCCAAGCTCCAAGAATCAACATCCCATATTACCTCAAAGGAGTCAAAATATAGTCCAAAATAGATGTCAGTCATGCTGACTTTACTTCCTGAAAGGAGCAAACGTTGATGCTAGGACAAATACCTGAAGATGCTCTTCAGCCTCCAACTGCACCAGAGTTTTAATTTGCTCTTCATTACTTGGGATGATCTCAAGAACTTGGTCTCTAAGAAATATTAATCACAGACACGACCTTAAATGCAAAGCTCGTTCACCGTTTCCTGCGGCTCTATGCTCCCCTCAGCCTCTGCATGGAGATGAATGCGACAGTCAATAATCTCTTTCACAAGCCAGGAGCTAATAAATTGTACACTGACCCACATCCCCAGAACGAGGAGGTGATCAAACGGCTTTATTTCCTCCAAGGAAATGTTATCTAAATAATAATTAAGAAGTCTACCTGCTGCTTGCAGGAAGCTTGCCATTAAAGTTTCCTTTCCTTGAGCTAATGAGTATTTGTCAAACAGCACCTGCTACTCATAAAGCACTGGCTTTTAAAACTTGTCTGTTCCTGCTTTGCAAGGAGGAAAAGAAAGGAAGAAAGAGGGAAAGGAGGATAATTAACTTGGTTCTTGGAGTGGAATGAGATCCACATCTGGGGATAAGTGAAATTTTCTAGGGTTTTTTTTTCTTCTTCTTTTCTTTTTCTTTCTTTCTTTCTTTTTTTAAATTGCTCTTTGTTTTAGTTTGTGACTGAAACTATAACATGGTACCATCTCCAGGTCTCAAGATGTAAACAAACTCGGGTCACAGTTAGCAAAAACTGAGATCCAAACAAATCACTGCTCTCCTCTCTCTCCTCTCTCTCTCTCTCTCTCTCTCTCTCTCTCTCTCTCTCTCTCTCTCTCTCTCTCTCTCTCTCTCTCTCTCTCTCTCTCTCTCTCTCTCTCTCTCTCTCTCTCTCTCTCTCTCTCTCTCTCTCTCTCCTCTCTCTCTCTCTCTCTCCCTCTCTCTCTCTCTCTCTCTCTCCCTCTCCCTCTCTCTCTCTCTCTCTCTCCCCTCTCTCTCTCTCTCTCTCTCTCTCTCTCTCTCTCTCTCCCTCTCTCTCTCTCTCTCTCTCTCTCCCTCTCTCCCTCTCTCTCTCTCTCTCTCTCTCTCCCTCTCTCTCTCTCTCTCTCTCTCTCTCTCTCTCTCTCTCTCTCTCTCTCTCTCTCTCTCTCTCTCTCTCTCTCTCTCTCTCTCTCTCTCTCTCTCTCTCTCTCTCTCTCTCTCTCTCTCTCTCTCTCTCTCTCTCTCTCTCTCTCTCTCTCTCTCTCTCTCTCTCTCTCTCTCTCTCTCTCTCTCTCTCTCTCTCTCTCTCTCTCTCTCTCTCTCTCTCTCTCTCTCTCTCTCTCTCTCTCTCTCTCTCTCTCTCTCTCTCTCTCTCTCTCTCTCTCTCTCTCTCTCTCTCTCTCTCTCTCTCTCTCTCTCTCTCTCTCTCTCTCTCTCTCTCTCTCTCTCTCTCTCTCTCTCTCTCTCTCTCTCTCTCTCTCTCTCTCTCTCTCTCTCTCTCTCTCTCTCTCTCTCTCTCTCTCTCTCTCTCTCTCTCTCTCTCTCTCTCTCTCTCTCTCTCTCTCTCTCTCTCTCTCTCTCTCTCTCTCTCTCTCTCTCTCTCTCTCTCTCTCTCTCTCTCTCTCTCTCTCTCTCTCTCTCTCTCTCTCTCTCTCTCTCTCTCTCTCTCTCTCTCTCTCTCTCTCTCTCTCTCTCTCTCTCTCTCTCTCTCTCTCTCTCTCTCTCTCTCTCTCTCTCTCTCTCTCTCTCTCTCTCTCTCTCTCTCTCTCTCTCTCTCTCTCTCTCTCTCTCTCTCTCTCTCTCTCTCTCTCTCTCTCTCTCTCTCTCTCTCTCTCTCTCTCTCTCTCTCTCTCTCTCTCTCTCTCTCTCTCTCTCTCTCTCTCTCTCTCTCTCTCGTGAAAATCACATCATGGCAGAAAAGAGAAATCCCCAAACTGGCAAGCATATTGTTAGAAAAGCGTTTGGATAGAAGAGCCTTTTGCTTAGTAACGGAGCCTTTTCTTTCTCTGTTTTCCTAGCAGGCCGGACTTCCGGTTCATCGGTGCTGATGGAAAGAAACGAGGCAGCGAGGCCCGGTAGAAGGGCTGAGGACCGAAGCCAGACCCTCACATGCCGGAACCACACAGTTTCCGGTGCACTCTAGTGCAAGGTCATTCAGACCCTTCTGCCTACAAGCACCCGTCTGCCAGAAGTGGCCTGAAAATTCCTCCATTTGGGTCTCATCACTTTTAGTTAATGCATGGACTCCCGGGAGCCCTCCTTTAAAATAAGGTGCTGGGAAAAGTAACACATTAGACTGGTATTTCCTGGTGTGTTGTTTAGTCAAAAGGGGAGGGGTGTGACAAAAAAAAAAAAGGAAAAAAACCCTCTCAGATTTCTAATGCATACACAGCGGTCTAAAAACCCTAAAGTACATTTAACTCTGTAATTTCCAAATTGAATTGACTAGCTATTTTCATGAAGCAAATTTATTAGACTGGCCCATTAATTCCCTTAGAATACTCTCCAAAAATGTTCCCCAAGCCCCATACAGAACTGTGGAACCAGGGCTGATGTGGGGGACTCAAGCCTGGCACTTAGGAGGGAAATGCAGAAGGAAAGTTACAAGCTGAGGGAAGGGGGCAGGGCGTGGGGGGGGCAGAGGGTCAGCCTCAGCTATATATGAGCTCCGGGGCTGCCAGGGTTAGACCGACAGCCTGTCTCAAAAACAAACAGCAGAATCAAAGCATTTCTGAGCCAAGATGAGTCCTAAAGCCAGGCGAGACATTAGCTGGCAGCTCTAGCCCTGGGTTTCCTAGTCCCCACGGAAGTCTGGAGGACAAGGACTGACAGCAAGGGTAGAGCCCAGAGAGTCAGAAGTGGGTGGGCCCGGGGCACCTACTGTGACGCCTGAGGCAAGTACAGCTCTCCCCTGCTGCCTACCAGCCCTGCATTCTGACCACGGAGGGACATGGGTAAAGTCAGTCTTGTGAATTCATTTTACAAAATGGAGTCATTCCTGTCACATCCCACTAAAATGTCCTCGAAGGCCATGGGAAAGAAAGAGGAACAGGTCTCGAATTCCCACTCCCGGATGTATCTCACAGAATCCTTTCCCCCAAACCAAAACAAAATAGACTGTCCTACCGTTAAGGCCATTGTCACTTAGCAAATGAAGGAACTCCCAGCTATAACCTTAAGCCTAACTCCACACAGTAACTGCCCTCTCTCTCCAGTCAGACAGAGCCTGCCAGCTCCCACAGGCATCAGCAGTGCCAAGGCACTACCATTCAAGACACATTTCTCTGTCATAACAAAATCCCCAGCTTTTCCTCTGTCCTCTGTACACAGAAGAGGCCACCACAGACTGTAGCTGTCCCAAATTACAGCTTTATTCTTTATTCCCAAATAAAAGTTCTCTGTTTTGGCTTTAGACAGTTTCCACTCATTTCCTCCTTCCATGGTCAATCACATCTTCTTTTGCCAACTCCTGTTTTTCCCACTTTTCACACACACACACACACACATATACACACACCACACACAAGCACATATACACACACCACACACAAACACACACACATGCACACACATATATATACACACATGCACACACACTTACACAAGTACACACACAACACACACACAAACACACACTCACAGTCTAAGAGAACTCTGATAACACTGAATGCAGGACCAAGTTACAAGCATCATGAACCAGGTAAGTAAAATTCAAATAAACACTAGAAAGTGTCACTTACCCCACAAATGTTTCTTGACAGTAGACATGCCCAAACAGGGCACCCAATAACAGGATCAACCTCATGCTCAAGGCTTTCCCAGAGTCCAGAGTTCAGAGCCCTCCTGAACTTTATAGGGAGTTGAGGGTTATCTCTTGGCCCTCTGAGAATTCAAGGGATTCCCATATGGTAAAATTCTCACCTGCAGGTGACATTCTCAAGGTCACAGATACCAGGGTATGGTCTTGCCAGTCTGTATATTTTCCCTTTTTAGAGTGAGATAATAAATATCAATAGAAAGAAAACAAAATTGCTAAAGCATACCAAGGACAAATCAGACATTTATGATTTAGAACATAAAGTGCCACTAACCCTGCTTGGTGATGGAAACCAGATTAATAGACCCAGAGGTTAAAGTCCTTTCTGGGTCTCTGACAAAAAGGAAGAAAAGAAAGGGCAAAGCATTTATAGTAATTACTTGGCATCCTGTCTATCAGATCCTATTAGTTTGCTCATTCGTTTATTTTCATAGTGTTTACCCTGAAACACTGTAGTTACCCAGTCCACATCTGCTGAAGGTCCCAGTAGATGTGGCCTGGTCCAGCCCCCGCTCTACATTAAATAAACAAAACAGAATGCCTTGTAATTTTTAATTCCACACTGTCTCTAAAGTGATCCATCTGCATTTGTACCAAATTAATACCTCTATTGCTCTGCTTTTCCCAAAATGAGAATGCTTTTCCGAGTTTAGCAGTGAAGACGCTTGTTGAGAAAGTTTTGAGTTTAAAGGAAGTGTTTCATTTAGTCACTAGTAATTCCTCCACCCAAGAAAAACATTGGTATCTGTTTCTCTGAATTTCTTTGGACAATTTACAGTCCCCCCAGCCCCCCCATGTCCTTGTCGTATCCCGCCCCCGTCCATTCCTGTGTGTTGTCCCCTGTGTCCCCCCCCCCTTCCTCAGATTGTCAGATTGTCCTCAAACTGGCTTTGGCCTTGAACTCCTGATTCCCCTGTGTCTAACTCCCAAGTGCTGGGATTACAGGCATGTGCTTTCATACGTGGTTTGGTTCTTTCTGAAGCAAAGATTATACCAACAAAGATTGTTTTTAGACAGATTTTCTTTTTGTCTGTACACATAGATCTTCAATAATCTAACTTTATTTACTGCTTACAAGGAAAATGGGCATACCTATTTTCTTTTAGGAATCCTATTTTTTATGTTGTAGTCAACCACACATTATACTCAACCTGGCAAGAATCAACCACAAACAACTGCAGAGAATTTTTCAACTTCCCTTTGTGTATCAAATTTTTCATCTGAATACACTTTTAAATCCCTGGATTTAATATCTCAAGTAACTACTTGAAGGAGAAAAGGGTACATATATCATGTTTCTAGTTGAAGAAATTACTGAATTAGTTTGATTTTTATTCTCTTTTGTCTTATGTTTTTGTTTTGTTCTAGATTTTGTGTGTGTTGTTGTTGTTGGTTGGTTGGTTGGTTGGATTGGTGTGGTATGATTTTTTATTTTGTAGGGTTTTTTTTTTTTGAGCGGGTGTGTGTTCTATTTGTTTTCAAGCCCAGACTGGCCTCAAACTACCTATGCAACTGAGGATAACCTTGGACTTTTGAGCCTCCTGCCTCCACCTCCTGAGTGCAAGGATCACAGACTGTGCCGCCCATGCCCAGTGATGGGGGTCAGCACAGGGCTTTGTGCATGCTGGGTAAGCATTCCACCAACTGAGCCGCCTCTCTAACCGTTGGCTTTTCTGCCCCTTCAGAGTCAGAAAGAAGGGGCTGGAGAGATGACTTAGCAGTTAAGAGCACTGGCAGCTCTACCAGAGGACCTGAGTTTGATTCCCAATACCCACAGAGTTGCTAACCACCATTTGCAAATCCAGTCTCAAGACAGCAGACACCTTCTTCTGGTCTGCATGTCACCGGGCACTGACACAGTACACAGGTATACATTCCAGGGGAAAATGTACCCATGAAATAAATACAATTTTAAAAAAAGGTCAGGAAGAAGCAAAGACTGTAACATATCCAGCCTTTAATTACTGGTAAGTAAAAAGGAATGTTTTTGGAGCATATGTCAACGCTACCTCGAAAAGCTGGCCCCCAAGCCAAGCCTCAGAAAGGGGAGAGGGTCTAAATTGCTACTGGTGGGCAACACAAGATGGGGGGATATTAGGGAAAGACAGGCACACAGCTGAGTCAAGGAGTTGTGGTGGCGCACGCCGTTAATCTCACCACTCAGGAGCAGAGGCAGGAGGATCTCTGTGACTTTCGAAGCCAACCTGGTTTATAGAGCGCGTTCCAGGACAGCCAGGGCCATACGGAGAAACTCTGTCTCAAAAAATAAATAAATAGTAAGTAAATACTAAATAACAATAAACAGTTGATCCTGGTGGCACACACCTATAATCCAACACTTAGGAGGCTGAGCCAGCATGAGCTGCTCAGCAAAACCCTGTAAGAGAAAGAAAGGAAGGGAGGGAGGGAGGCAGGGAGGGGAGGGGAATGGAGGATGAGAGGGGGCAATTAAAGTAATAATAGAAGAAGCTGGAAAGGAGGTAAGGCTGCCTTAGCAGGAGATTGTAAGAGACCTTTGTCTCTCATCACGTAAAGGATTCATATCATGACAGGGCATTGTGGTTTCCATCCTCTAGAAACAGGATAACGTATACTAAACTGCCTGTTTGATAACATATACTAAACTGCAGGCAGGTCTGGCATAACCATATACCCAACATCACCACAACCAATGTGACACTGCGTACCCCTCATCCCTGATCAAATCTGTCTTTGAGAAGCACTGAGGAAACCTCCAGCCAGAAAGAGGTCACTAGGCACCCGCCCCCCGCCCATGCTTTATGAATGAAAAGACGACAACTCTTCAAACCCAGAGGAAAGGGCTTCCACAAGCTCCCACAGCTGGTCTGAGGCAGAGCAGACTCAGAGCAATGTCCCCGGGCTCTGGTTCCCAGCTTTGATGCTCCACAGGACCCAATTGCACCAAGTAATTCTACTCAGCTCTAGGAAAAGACCATTTTTGACCAAATGTTCCTTTATCGACAAACCCCTAGGGAAGCTGTAATTCTGAAGGAGAAAGATGATAGGTCCCTTAAGAAAACGGTTCTGATGGTATGTTGTTCCTACCAGAGTGATGCTAGGCATGCTTCTGGGGCCTTTGCCCTTTAACCCCACAAGGTAAAACAGCCTCACCACAGGCTAAGGGGGACGCTATATGGAACCAGAGGAGACCCAACCACAAATTAAATCCCTCAGAACAGTTTCCAGACGCCAAAGGCCTTCCACATCAAAACTCCCGACATGGACGTCTTTGTCTGTGGAAGCATGTTTATTTGTAGCAAAGTGAGTTTTGCAGTGGAGTTAATGAACTCCCAACACTATTTCAGAACATGGCGCTTTGACTGCAAAATGCACAGGATTTATGGTTTCAATCAGCCAGACTTTAAACAAAAAATTTCCATCAGAGTTGCTTGATTATTTGCAGCACCTTTAAAACAAGACACCTTGAAACCTTTACGGAATGTCTGTGTTTTGACAAGATGAGAGTGTTAGCAGAAGCCGGGACAGGGGTACCAGAGACCTCTCTACTATCTTGGCAACTCTTCTGTAAATGTAAAGGTATTCTGAAAATGATTCTAAAATAGAAAATTTATTTTGAAAGTGAAGCCCTGCTGGACATAGCTGCATATGTCTGTAATCCTACAACTTAAAAAAGCTAAAGCAGGGAGGATTAGCTGTTCAAGGCCAGCCTGGTCTACTGGAGGGGAACCAACAACCAATATGGACAATGGTGAAGATATACAAAATGTACACACACACACACTTAAAAAATGACTGAGGGGCTCCGAGGGAAGCATTTGCCTGGCACGCACGAATCCCTAGAGAAAATCTCCAGCACCACAACATTAAATTAATTAATTAAACAAATGTACAACTTTCAAATTGTAAGGGGCAAGATGAGTCGGTTAATAAAAATTCTGCCACCTGAGTTTGATATCCTGACCCACACAGAAGAGAGCCACCTCTCCCAAACTGTTCTCTGACCTCCCTATTTATACCTGACATGCATGTATGGACAAACATACTCATGCACACAGGTTACATATACACATGAGCACAAATTTTTATGCATGCATTTTGTTTATTTGTTTGTTTGGTTTGGTTTTTGGAGACAGGGTTTCTCTGTGTAACAGCTCTGACTGTCCTGGAACTCACTTTGTAGACAAGGCTGGCATCGAACTCAGAGAGATCCGCCTGCCTCTGCCTCCTGAGTGCTGGGAATAAAGGTGTGAGCCACCACCATGAAGGGAACACAATTTTTTTTTTAAAAAATTAAAGTTATCTGTGATAATCAAAGAATTCCTTGGGGTTTTTTCCTTTTCTTTAGTTTTTTGAGACGAAATCTCACATAGTCCAGGCTAGCCCAAACTCCTGATCCTGAGGATGACTTACAGCTACCTCCTGAGTGCTGAGACTACAAGCATACACCACCAAGCCATCTTTTTAATGCTATTTTAAAAAATGAGATGCCTTTTTTTCCCCAACCAGATTGTTGAAGTTGTTAGGTTTTGCGGGATTTGTTGAGTAGTTAATTGATTAGGTTAGGTTTTTATTTGCTATCATGGCTTGGCTTCTTGGAGGAAAAAAATCCAAAAACCAGAAACAATTACTCAGAGTTGGTGGGAGGCAAGGGAAACAAATACTAGGGGAAGAGAGTACCCTGCTACATTTGCTGGAGTGAACTTTGGCGGCTCAGACCTAGAAACCTTTGTATCTGTACTACCATGCTACTTTAGGAATTTGTTCTAAGAAAATCTGCAAGTTCGAGGCCAACCTGGTCTACACTCAAATCCCAGGCCAGCCAGTGCTGTTGTATAGAAAGAGTTCAGATGCTCTTGCAGAGGAACCCAGTCAGTTCCCAGCACCCACATCAGACTGCTCACCACCCTCTGTAACTCAGGTCACTTATATGCAGATACCCACATACAGACATACATAAAACATTTAAAGTACTTGAAATTTTAAAGACATAAAAAGTACACAGAACATTTTCAAGCAGCTTATGGAGCAAATGACATATGCAAAATGATGAGCATGTATCTGAAAGAAACACACTAAGTGATCTTGGC